ATTGTGATATTCACTTTCTTGAAGTGGTCTGGACCTGAACCTGCAATATCTCCAAGGTCTGCCTGTATCTATAAAATATCTCCATTGACCTACTCTGGCCCCTGAGACATTTCTCTGCTCCTTTTGCAGTCAATGCTACCTCCATTTCCTCTCCTCCTGTCCTCGCAGGCATGCTCCATGCCCTATCTTGGTAAGGCCCCTTAGCAAACCCTCCAAGTGGCCAGATCCAGTGGTCAGAGTGTCAGCCACAATCCATCGTCACTCCTTCTGAAGTGTGTCTGCTCTTAGATACCTGACAGCCTCTCCTCTCTTCTTTTCCTGCATGCTCACCCTCCTTTTTTTTTTTCCACCAAAACTTTTGGAGTCATTTCGGGCTTATTTTTTTCTCTTCTGCTCCCACATGCAACTCACCAGTAAACTCTAGAGGCTCCTCCTTTGAAATGCACTCCCAACCTGCTCTCTCTCACCTCCCCTGCCACTCTCCCCCCTGGCCTAAGCCACTGTCATTTCTCACCTGGAGGCCACAGGAACCTGCTAACAGGTTTCCCTGCTCTTCGTTGCAGCCTGAGTGATTCATCTAAAGCCCAAGTCGAGTAAGACCAGTGTCTGCTCCAAATCCTCCAGTGAATTCCTGCCTCACTCCAAGTCAGAAAGTCCAATCATGGCTCCTAAGACCACAAGCTGTCCACCACCACCACCACTCTCCCCCACCTCATTTTGCTCCAACAACACATATCACCTGAAATTTGTAGAATATTCCAAGCACACTCCCTCCTCTGGGCTCTTTGCCCATACTGTTCCTTTTATGGGACACTTTCTCCAAACACCCAGGGGATTCACTCCCTGCCTCGTTTGGGTCTTTGGTCAAAGGTACCTTGTCGGAGAGGTCTTCCCTGATCAATGTCTGTAAGATAGCAGCCCTTCCAGCCTCATTACTTTTGTTATCTTCATGCTGCCTTATCACTTTCTTCAAAGCATTTGTCAACTCCTGACACATTATGCACCTGTCTCCTGTCTCCCCCAATACAGTGTAAGCCCTGGAGGACAGGAACAGTATCAGTTTTATTCACTGGTTGATCTCTAGCTCCCAGAATGGGGCCAGGCACACAGACACACAATAACTGCTTGTTGAGTTAATAAATAAAAGTGTCCACACCTATATACATTGCTCAACCATTTACAGAATAAAAACTTTGAGAATGGCACAAATCTCCAGCAATGGGGTTAAATGAATTAGGACAGAGCCATGAGATGGAGTGCTGTGCATCAGGAAGATAGGGTGGTTGAATATTTGGTGATGTGGCAAAATACTAACACTAGCTTGAGAAGTAAAAACAAAACAGAACCCAATATACTCAAAGTATGTAAAATAGGACCAAAATTTAATTAAAAAAGAAATGATTCTGTAAATCTGTATGGAGAGGGAGAAGAAGTTAACACATACAGAGAAAAGGAGATTAGAAATAACAGTCCCTAAAGTGTAAAGTGGTTCTCACTCAATAATGGAATGCTGGGTGATTTTTATTTTCTTTATTTTGTCCAAGTGTTTAACAATACACATTACTTTTAATAATCATTAAAAACTAATTTTAAAAGTCCAAATCATTGGGAGAGTGACTATGACTAGCTCACTCCTGGTCTGAGGCCCGAGGTATGTCAGGCGACCCCTCTAAGTTCTGCACAAGCAGGATGTGGTTGAGGAAGGAATGACGGGTCTCAGACCAACCTGAACTGTGACTTGACAGTGAGGAAGGAGAGGAAAGGCCAGATATGCAGTTTATAAGGTTTAGATCTGCCTAATACTAAAATTATCATTTCCAGTGAAATGATTTTTTTACTGTCATTTTTTTTTTACTTCAAGACTGTGAGAGACCTCCAGTGTTACAATAGGAAAGGCACCTTTAGGTTGTTCAGCCCAATTCCTTCATGTACAGCTGAAGAAACCCAGAGAGAGGTAGGATGACCTGCCCCTGGTCACCGCCGGGGGCAAAGCTTTGGTTCTCTGCTCCATGTCTGGTGTTCCCAACACCACACTGTGCTAGCTCTCCACCTTAGGCCATGTGGACCAGACCTTGGAGAAACCGTGCTGGCCAGAGCTGAGGGTAGATGTTCTTCCCCTAGGAGCCCACCTTCTGCCAACAACCTTCCCAGCCCACATGAATTGCACTCCAAGTCTGGCAGATAATCCAGGAGGCTGTCAGAGACCCGCTCTAATACCCAGCCCAGTTTGTAAACCCTTTGGGACGTTCTCCAAGTTCCTGCAGTACTTACTCTCCTGTTCATTGGCTCCAGAATGGGTGTTTTTTCTGACATGAAAATATCTCTGTGCCTAGGGAAAGGTACAAGGCTGGCTTGGTTTACAAATGACAAAAAATAGAGTTGGAAGCCAGCTTGGTCTTCAGCTCTGCTCCTTCAGCCCAAGCACAGACTTCCTTCTTTAAGCCCGCAGTTCACAGAGGTCTTTGGCATAAGGGCCTTGAGCAGCAGTTCCCGCAGCCCAGCTGACAGTGACAGTGTGGCAGGGCCTCTGGTAACCCAGAGGCCATAGCAGTGGCCACTCAGGCTGCTCTGGGTGCAGACGACGCACAGGACTGGGGAGAGACGTTAAAAAAATTTATTCCTGTAAGTGTGATACCAAAGGTCTGAAAATCACTGTTTGGTGAATCAGAAATACTATTCTGTGAGAAAACAGCCCATAAGGACTAGGCCAGCAGAGTGGCTCCACTTCTTGAATTCTAAGAGATTTTAGTGGCATCTCCTAAGGGAAAAGCCTCTAAGGAGGTATTTGAATTGAAAGCACCCTGAGTCACCCTATCTAGCACCCGGCCACCCACTTCTAACAGCAGGAAAATTCCCTTTACAAGATGGAGTGTTTTCCTTCCTGTTTTATGAAGAAATTAATTGTCCATTGGCTGTGCTATGGTTTCCAGTCATATTTATGAACACTCGTGGGCACTACTTACCTGTGCAGAAGCCTGTTTCACTGCCCAGTGTTTCTCCAAAGTTGGGATTCTGCCCCTCATGTGACATTTGGCACTGCCCGAAGACATTTTTTTTGTTGTTACAAAAGGCCTGGGCATGGGTAGAGACCAGGGATGCTGCTGAACAGCCTACACCACAAAGGCACTGCCCTGCAAAGACTCACCCAACCCACTGTCAGTAGAGCCAAGTTAAGAAACTCTGGCCCAGAAGAAGGCTTTTCTCTAATAGACTGGTGTTTCTCGAATCAAAGAACAATCCTTGCAAAGCCATACTGCCACACTGAATTGGCTCAGGGGCTGTATATCAGTCTCTTTTAGTTAATAAATGGGTTAAAAATATAGTATTCCCTATGTATTTGCCCAAAAGCATCTTTCTCCTAGAACAAATGTACTCATTAATTTTTAAAAATATTTTAATGAAAATTACAATACCCACTGGATTAATGTTTTATAAATTGTAGAGACCCATCTGTGTGATAGTTCATTTTAAAAAATTGTATCTTAGCAGATTTTTAAGATGACTTTTATGTTCATTGCAGAAAACTTTAAAAATACTTATTTTGTTTTAATGGAAAGTATAGTTGATATACAACCTAATATTGGTTTCAAGTATACAACACAGTGGTTCAAAGTTACCATATTATTAAACCCTCACCCTCACTGGTGCGGTTACTATCTGTCAACATAAGATGTTACAGAATCATTGGCTATATTCTCCATGCTTTACTACTATCCCCATGACCAACTTATGTGATGATTGAGAATTTTTGTGCCTCCTAACCCCCTTTCCCCATCCACCCACCCCAACTCCTCCCCAACAGTAACCACCATTCACTTCTCAGTGTCTATGAGTCTACTGTTAGAAAAGTACTTCTTGTGATTTAAAAAAAGACTGTAAATTGAGGAGGAACTGGTTTAGTATATTATTTATATTTATGACTTTTTAAAAGTTTGAGGTTAGACATTCTAAATATTTTCTATATTTATATGTTTACATTCTAGCCTGCTTTCTTTCTTCTCCTACACTTCAAACATCACCCCAAATTACTTGAGTCTTTATAAACATTCAAACAGTTGCTTAGTACTCCATCAGATGGTAATGAACCCTAGATTTTCTAAATACTTTTGTTGAACACAGGTTACTATCAATTTTTGACTATTATAAATAATCCATGATGAATGTATCTGCTTTTATGTTGCTTTGTAAATACCACAGCAGCCTGAGTTGTTCGGAGGGCTTGGGACATAGTTATTTAATTCCCAGTCCTCAACGGAAGCAGGGCAGAGACATCGGGATACCATACAGAATACCTGACTCACAGGAGAAGTTCAGGAAGCCTAGGGATATAGGTTTAAAACTAGGCCAGACCAACCAAACCATGTACCTGCGTGCATACATGTATACGTAAGTAAGGGCCAAGAAGAAAAAGATCAGGGAAGCTGAACACCAGACTTCTAGCCGTGGTGACTTAAAGAAAATCGGAATGAGAAGGAGGGGCAGGCAGAGAAGGAGCACTTTAGGTTGGGTGTGGGGTTTTTTCTGTTACCTTCTTCTGTGTTCTTTGAATTCTTCATTATGACACTATATTGATATATAACTTGTGTAATATTTAAACATACTTTAGAGAATGAGTTGACTCCCCATGGAATAGAGCCTGATTTACGTCAGCATATACTTATCTCTTACTCGTTTGTTTAACCAACCCTAGCATGGTGCTTGGCACGTGGCGAACTGGACAGATGAGCAAGTCTGGAGATGGTTTGTTTTGAGCTAAGAGGCTCTCACGTGCATCCAGGTGGCAGGCTTTTATCACCTGTTCTCCTCCCAGCATGCTGCCCCCGTGTCCACAGTCTGTGGCATAGAAGCAGGGAGTGGGAAACACAGGAGGCTGCCTGTTTCAGATTGACCAGCTCATGTTACCCTCAGGCCCTTTGCTGTTTCTCTGCGTGCCGGTTGAGCCAGAGTGTCTCTGAAGGACCCAAGCCAGTAGATGGTGAGATCGTTCCTGTTTCTTTCAGGCCGTACTCCTGGCCCCTGGCTCCACGCTGAGGCAGCCGGGCAGAGCTCCGATGATAACAAAGGCAGAAATTCTCAGGTAATGCGTCCCTCGGGTCTCTGAATATAAAACCAGGAATTCTCAAGGAGCACAGAAATGTTCAGGGAGTGCTTTCTGCCTAACATCTTTACATTTTTCCTGACTTTTTCCCCTCAGGGAAAGCCACCTAGTGTACTTTTGGTTCCAGCTGCAATGAAACACAATTTCATTATCTGAAGGGTGGAAGGGGGGCTTCTCTGGAATCACCACTACACACAGAAGCAAGGTGGGCAGCCCTGAGCCCCTCTGGGATTCTCCCACAACAGTCACTCCCTTCTTCCCTCATTACAGTGGCTTGAGAAGCCTGAGAGGAAAACTCTAGCAGAAGACACAACTCCTTGTTCTCTCTCGCCTAGAGAATACATGGTTTCACATAGAATACTTGGCTTCATGGCACCCTCAAGGTGTTTCCCCCACCAGCATTATTATTTATTTTGGCCAAAGTTAATCCCAATTGAAGTCTTGGTGGCTAGAGGAAAGCTGGGTAAGGAACCCAGGTGACAGAGTCTCTGAGGAAAGGCCCTCATCCTCACACAGGCGACTTGCACAGTGTTGCCTAGCTGGGTGGCGGTGACGCCTCTCACTGGGCAGCGTAGGATCTCATCTCCCTTTGTTTCTTCTTCAAGAACACACATTCAGTCCTACCCTAGCCTCCTCCTTTTCAGAGTTCTAAAGGTCAACGAGGGTGGCTGCTGTTAAATTGGGCCCTTCTGCAGCTGTAGGGAACCTCAAGGAAGGTGACATAAGAAGGAAGGGACTAGGTTCCTTGAAGGAGGACAAGCACGCACACACCTTTTCTAACCATAGCTAACTCAAGAATTGCAATAACCAACCGTCCTCAGTTGGTCACAAGCTCAAAACTGGGTGCATGATTGCAGAGCAAAGTATATATGCATAGGAAAAAAGACAGGAAGGGTATACACAAAATAAACAGGCATTTTCTCTGGGAGATGATGGCTGATTTTTACTTTCTTCCTAGTGCATTTCTGCAATTTCTGAACTTCCTACAATGAATATGTTACTCCTGTGATCAGAAAAATACAGTAACTATCAAAAAATAGCCCCTATGGTATATAGTTCTTTGCATTTTTCACGTGACTTGCCTGTGTTATCTCACTTGACCCTTTTAGTAACTGTGATGTAAGCTGGAGCAATTCCTTTAAAATCATTTTGTCAGACTAGAAAATAAAGCTCTAGGGGTTAAGAAACTTGTCCAGGGTCACATGCTCAGACCTCTGACTCCTTGTCCAGTGCTCCTTCCACCATACCTCACTGCTTTTCCTGGCATGTTAGAATTGCCAGGACAGGAGTCACCCTCACCTTCACTCGTTGCGAGCAGGATGGAACATTGTGCCGTATCTGGTCCCTGGCTTCATAGCAGGCACACACCTACATCACCCAAGCCCATAAAGTCAGGGGTGGATGGTAAAGTCTCCCTTGGGCATCCCATGGTCGAGATCTTTATGTCTTGCTGAGCACCAGCTTAATTCATTTTCACTTCAATGAGACAAAAAGCAATTGCTCATAGAAATTACAACAAACAATGCCCTCGGGGGCACTCTTCTTTCATGGTGGTCCTTGCAGTGTGGGAGCCCTGGACCAGAAATCTGAAGGTCTGGGACCCTTTCTGTCTTTTCCATTGCCTTATCTGAGGATCTCCAGCAAGTTCTTTGCTTTTCTTGAGTTTTCTGTCAAGTGAATCTGCTAGTGCTTGGTCCCATAAATGTTTATGAAATGGCATTAGGTCCCATCTAACCTACCATCAGCTGTATGTCCCATTTCATCCCTTTTCCACCCACAAGTCTGTGGATAAAAATCACCTCCTTGCATGTGATGGGCCATACGCCTGGCAGCCTTCCATGAATGAGGGAAAGCTTCCCACTTCTGGGGCAAGATTGGGGGGGGGGGCGCCATTTATGTGTAGTGAGTCTTCCAACACAACCTGGTAATGTTGTCATGTTTCCACAGTTATCTCTAAAGACACTCCGGTGAGAAGACAGATGAAGCCAACATCCTGTGAGCCACCTGGGGTTCCATGTCACAGACAGAATGTGTCTGTCCTCACCATACTTACGATGTAATTCAGCTGACATACAGGCTCTGAATGGAGCATTTATTTATTGTAAATACGTGGTTTGCACAGGCTTTAAATCAGTATTGTAGTCAATAATTTTAAAAAACCATACACATCGTATCTCCATTTTAAAAAATGCATCTTGGCATTTGTCTGTCAGTACAGATAGAGCCCTGTCCCCACCTGATAGTGTCCATTCCACCACTGTAAATACATGTGCAGGCTGGCCCTTCCTAGGTCCTGAACCGTTTTTAGAAGATTCCTTAGTCTGCAAGTAGTCCCAAAGTCATAGTATCCACAGTGGCTTCTTCTTGGCATGATTTTTATTCTCATCACACAAACTACAAAATTGAACCAAATAATGCCTTATAAATGACGCAGCTCAGAGAGTAGTGTGTTCCCACACCCAGACAATGCCACACAGCCTCCAGTGAACGAGATGCCATGTCTCGCTTCCATTTTGCAGTACAGGGATTTTTTTTTTTGCTGCCTAATGTAAATACAATGCAAAATAAAGGCAAGAGTGGGCTTGGCCCTCCAATGCCAGCCACAGGGCCCCTTTTGTTACTGAAATGACCCTACAAGTGGCCAACGCTCTCACTGTTTACAGTACCTCTCCTACCCAAGTTTCCATGACCTTCCTCCTGTCCCCTCCCAGGCCCCAGCCCCATCCTAACAGCCAGGCTGAGGTGAGCTTTATGAGATTTTGGTATTTTTCCCTCCAAGTTAGAAGCATGTTTAATTCATTATTATAGTAAATTACTGATTCTATTCCTGAGGCCTTTTTTTTTCTCCCCCACATACTGGATTTCCATGGAAAATGATGACACAAAAAAGTATAGACTGAAACATAAAATCTGGTGTCCCACCCCAATCCTCCGGAAACCTGGGACCACCTATCAGGCAAAACCTAGCTCCCTTCTGAGCTAAAGAGAAGCCAGGTGGTCTGAGAGTGCCCTGTTCCCCGTGAGGGCATCTCTGGGGGAAGGAGTATGTGGGCTCAGCCAGCCTTGAGTGTGCAGCTGGCCAGACAGACTCTCAGTGCTCTTCTCACGCCTTTTTCTTGAGCTGGCAAGGAAAGTGAAGTGTGTTTTTGCCTGCTGCCTGACCCCAGTGCTCCACATCCTTGGAGGGGAAGCTGTGACAGAGGAGGACAGAAAACTGAAAGAAACAGATCGAGCCCTTGCCTGTGCTCAAACTAGCCACAGATTCAAGGAAGAGGGTGGAAGAAGCCACAAGAGCAGTGAACAATGCTTCTTTTGGAACAACCACAACCACTCGTGCTCATACCTCGGGCAGCATGTCCAGCCCACGCCGTCCAGAAAACATAGTGGCTAGGAGGGCTCTAGCTCTGTGACTGCTCGGACGCCTCGCCGTGGTCTAGAGCCTGAGGTGGTGGCCCACGTTACTGGTGTGCTTGCTTACTCCAGAGAGAAGCGCCGAGCAAGGCCAAGTGCCCACTGGGGAGTAAAACATGCTGAACTGTAGCAGCTAACTCACCGGAAAGATGCATGTGCAGGTCATCAGCTATGGGCATAGCCGACTCATTTTATTGGCTCTGGAAGATTCTCGAAAGGTCAGAATTTCTTTTATAACATTATCCACTCCACCTCCCTCCCAGTTACATAAAGTAATTACAAGGGTTTTAATTTTCATGATTCAGAAGGCCCTTGACAAAAGCAAATCCACCTTCAGAGTAGACAGCCTGCCCTGATGAGGTGTTTATACATTCCTGTACTGCACTGCTGAGATAGAAATTAAAATAAAACTACTCAAGGGCAGAGGGAAGGGATGAGCATAAACCAGAGATCGCAGTTAGGGAGAACTCTCAGGAATCTGGTGTCCGTCACTCCTTGAGACCTATCACTGACTTTGCGCTTTGAACTCGTGTGTGGCGGGACAAAGGTTTAGCCTGTAGACCGTGAGCTCATGGTCGCAGCCCCCAACCATCCTGATATTCTCACTGATGTCATCTGTGACTCCCCCAGCATTTCCCATCTATTTTCTATTTATTGATGTTCCCTCTGTAGGCTTATTTCTTTGTATCTAATAAACTTTAATGTGGAAATGCCCCTGGCAACTTCCTTGTTTAAACTCATGCACTGTCACTGGCACCAATTGAAGGGCTCCTAAGAATGACAGCAGAAGGGGTATTTACACACGACCCAACAGATGCCATAACGTACTGTGTTAGAAATGGTTTTTCTTTTTTGAGCAGACATTTCTAACTAAACTACATAATGTTTCCTGGATTTTGTAGCTAACTCAACTAATAGGTATTTGGAAAAACCAACCAAGGGAAAACTTTGTCAAATGCATTTTTTTAAAGTAGATAACATTATATTCAGTTTAATTAAAACAAAAGGGGCAAAGAGTATTGTTTATAAATTCCTCTCACTTAAAATGGAGCAACTTTCAACCTCGAGCACACTTAGCAGCCCCCCTCAGATTCTCCTCTGGGGCACTATCGTCTGCTCTCTGCTGCAGTGTTGTCCAGTGCCTTCTCTGGAACGTGGCACAGGGGATATGAGGTTACCTCCTGGATAAGCTGGCTGAGGAGCAAACATGGATCTGAATCTCTATTTTACCTCTTAATGACTTGGGGAATATGAATTACTTAACCAGTCTTTGCCTGTTTCCTCATCTGTAAAATGGGCATACAAATGTGTACCTAAGGACAGAGTGGTGAAGATGCAGTGACATAGCACCTAGACAAGCCCTCAACTCTTGGGCCACAACACACCCAGGTGTCGGCACACCCCATACTCTAGGGTACAAACACTTTGTTTATTCCACGCTCCATCACAAGCAGACTTGTTCAGAGTTTGCTGAGCTGCTCAGACCACATTGCACTCCTCCCCAAGGAGGGATCAATAATTAAAATCCATAGATGTTCCCGAAATATAGTTTCATCTAGAAACTCATTTCAAAGTTAGCCACTACACACTTTGTGTCTGAATTAGTTAAGGGCCTGACTTGTTTTACCTGTTCTCTTATTATTGGAGGTACAAATAAGCTCCTTAATGACCAAAAGGGCCACACTGAGTAGAGAAGAAAAGCAGTGGCCCAAGGTACCTGACAATGTGGATGCTGAAATTCAAAGCCAGCAACTCTGGAAGGTGGTGAAGTAGCCATAATTTTAGGCACCCCTGATGGAGTTAAGAGTTAAGGGTGGGAGAGGTGATGTTGAGAAGGGCGAGGGGAGCAACTTCATGGGAAGGGCTATGGGCTCCATAAGCTCATTCCAAATTCTCATCCTGTGCCTTAGGGGGTTTGGGCATCCTTCATGAACCTATTCTGCTGTAGATTGAATTGTGTCCTCCAAAAATTCACATGCTAAAGTCCTAACCCCAGAATACATATTTGGGAATAGGGTTGATATAATTAGTCAAGATGAAGTCATACTGAAGTAGGGTGGACCCCTAATCCAAATGACTGGTGTCCTTATAAAAAGGGGAGATTTGAACACAGACACACAAGAAGAATGCTACACAAAGATGAAGACAGAATTTAGGATGATGCTCTTACAGGCCAAGGAATGATGAAGATTGCCAGCACACCACCAGAAGCCAGGTGAGGGGCACGGGGCAGAGTCTCCCTTCAGAAGGCCATCCCCAGGGACACCTTCTCAGACTTCCAGCCTCCAGACTGTAAGATAATACATTTCTGCTGTGTGAGCCATCGGTGTGTGGTGCTTTGTTACAGCAGCCTGGCAAACTCTGTCCCCTTGCAGCTTGGCAGGAGTACATTATGTTTATGAAGAAAGAAGCTGAGAATAAAGTTTAAAGAGTTAGCAGTTCTTTGTGATATAAATGGGGTAGTCATTTACTCTGACCTTGATTTAGGTCACTTGTTGCCAGTGACTTAAGTCTATTTTCATGAATAAAACATTCAGTTGCATTTTTCCTGTCAAGGTGGAGACAACATCATGGAAGCAAATCTGGCATTTCTAGGTCACAAGAGTGAGCGGAGAGAGCTAGCTTTTATCTTAAATGGCATCCTTTTCCCCTATGGAGCTACTATGGCTTTAAAGTAAAGATGCTTGGCATAGATGGCACCAGCCATTCTGATGATCTAGACTTCTGTTTCTAGAATGTTTTTTGTTTTTGTTTAATTGTGGTACAATACACATAACACAAATTTGTTATCTTAACCAATTTTAAATGTACAGTTCGGTGGTGGTAAGTGCATTCACATGTTGTGCAACCATCTCCAGAACTCTTTCATCATCTTACAAAATTGAAGCCCTGTACCTATTAAACACTAACTCATTCCCATTCTCCCCAACCCATGACAAATGACATTTTACTTTCTGGCTCTATAAGTTTGACAACTCTTGCTACCTCATATAAGTAGAATCATATAGTTCTTAGCATCCAGGCTAAGTGAAATCATGCCCACAAGGTTCATCCATGCTACAGCATCTGTCAGAATTTCCTTCCTTTTTCAAAGCTGAATAATATTCCATTGTGTGGATAGACCTCATTTTGTTTATCCATTAATCCATCAAGGGACACATGGGCTTCTTCTACCTTTTGGTTATTGTGTATAATGCTGCTATGAACATGGGTATAGAAGTATCTCTTGGAGACCTTGCTTTCAATCCCTCCAGGTTTATACACAGAAGTGGAATTGCTGGATTATATGCTACCTCTATGTTTTTAATTTTTTGAGGAACTGCCATATTTTTTCTGTACTGGCTGCACCATTTTCTCTTCCCACCAATATTGTGTGGATTTCTCCACATCCTCACCCACACATTATTTTCTGTTTTTTTTTCTTATAGTAACCATCCTGATGGGTGTGAGGTAGTATCTCATTGTGGTTTTGTATTTATTTTTTACAAATGGGACAGTATAAAATGTAGGACTGAATTGATTGGGTTTTCTGAAGATTCCAATCAAAAAATATATCCCCCTTCATACATTTTCTATGTTGTGACTGATGCCCACATTTATTCATGAAACACAAGAGGCCACTGGACATTCATTTCAGTATTTTTATTGTATACTTGATGTATTTAGAGTCGATTCCAAGGGCAAGCACTGGTTAGGGAAGTAATCTCATTTGTAGATATTTTACAAAATGCTGTTAAGACTACACAGTCAGTTCCCACTGCAGGAGACAGAAAGATTTTCTTTCTTATTATTCCCTGCCAATAGCATTTTCCAGCTCACACACTTAACTTCTCACAGCATGATTGCAAACATGTACATATTTATTCCCATGAGAAATCTGCATCTGACATTTTGGAATGTTTGAAGTCAATCAGAAAAAGCACACTTGACATAAGCCATGGGAGGGGAGCTGGGATGTAGGACTGTGTGGGATGAAAGGCCACAGCTACAGGGAAGCACAGAGTAATGCTCTAACAGCATGCACCTGTGACCTGCCACTCCTCCCCTTCACCTAAGAATGGCCAGGTAGATATGCTCTCCTCTCTCCTCCCTCTATGTGCTCCCGACCTAACGCTGAAAGCTCAGCTGAAGACCTTCCCCATAAATGGTTGCACTGCTCTTCAGTCAGAAGGCAGTGAGTGGCTCCCTAACAGATGCCCTGGGCCCACATGGCTTCCCTACTGGGCCAGCCGGAGCTGTGGAACACCTGCACCAATGTGGGACGACATAAGTTAGGAGGCAAAGTAGTTTGCCTGGTTGATAATTATTTTTTATACCTAAAATTCACCCAATAGTGAAGGAACTTCACTGCTAATATCTAATAGGCATACATCTGCTCTGTTAGATAGCTTGTAAGAAAGACTCTAATAATAACACTGCACCTTCTGTTACCAGGCACTAAAGAATTACCCTTCAATTATACCCTTCAAATATACCCTTGTTCTACCTAAAGTTCCAAACCACCTCTAAACATGAAAGAATATGACTTCTGCTTTGCTAATTTACTTTTGCTGGAGCCCTGCCCCCCCGTAAGCATGAGGGTTGTCTTTATCTATGGTAAATCCTGTTTTACTAGACAAGATGAAGCAGCTTATGTTTGATTATGGGTCATGGGTGTGGGGGAGGGGTCCTTCCCTTTATGGTCATGTCTTCTTTCTGCACAAGGCATGTGCAGCCCCCACCTCAAAGTCTTAATGAGTACACAAGTGATATTTTAGGAACCGATTTTTACACAATGACCTTTCAACATTATTTTCTGAGTTCAGCTAGAATATTCATTTTCCCCATATAGCCTTTAGAAAAGCAATCCCTGGTCAAGAAATTATCCACACAATGACAAGCATTTTCAAAAGCAGTGTCAGGAGCATCTAAAGACAAACACCGCCCCCACCCCCACCCCCTGCTCAAAATCCAACAACTTATTTCAAACTGTTAATATGAGTAGAGAAAAGTCACCAATGCTGTGTCAGCAGACTCTTTGCCCTTTTCTGGGCTTTCCCTACACAAAATTCCAATTGCACAAAGAATCTGTCTCCTGCTATTATTTGGGTTTCAACTCTACAAGACCACCCCTGCCTGATGGGAGCATCCCAGCCCTGTTTAATGGCTGCCAGTCTGTGCCGCGGAGAGCTGCTGCACCCTCTAGTGGTGACTCAGAAGCATCACAATTGTGAAAGACCCCATTGGCTAAGACTACGCTCTAGTAGGGGTTGGCCCCTCTCTGAGGTGCTGGACTAAGGCCAATGTCCCCTCCTAGAAGTAGCCACTGTGTTTCCCACTCCACAATGGCTGGGTAAGGGCATAAGGCCAGCTTGGTTATCTGTGACCTTTGGCCCACAATAACGAAAGCAGGCCTCTGTATTTTATTCGCACTACATTTCTTTTGGTCAAGCTCCAAATCACCTTGGGTATCTCAGCCATGTCAGGTCTGATGAAAAGTTTCTATAGTAGGTAGAGGTGAGACCACATGGTAAAATTTTAGAGTGGCTTTCTGCAGCAGCTTGTGTTAAATAACCACTCAACAGGAGGACTCAGGAGGGGATAGGTAGCTACATCATCCTCAAGCCTCCCCCAATCCCCCTTAGCAACTATAGTGAGACAACCAGAACGGCCACCCTACCTAAAAGAACATCCTAAGTTCATCATCACTGAAAGCCCAGCCAAGCCTGGACACAACTCTCAGTAACTATAAGCCACCATGAATGGTGGTTGTTGACTTTGTCAGCCCAAATACTCTTCCCATCTCTCACCACTTAGTGATTTTATGTATTTTACAGAACTGTGGGCAAAAAGCACATAGTGCCCATATGCCTGCACTCTTAAAGCAGACTTGGTAGAAGAAGAGATTTGTTCTGATAAAACCTGTGACCCTCAGTGTCCACATCTGTGTATGGGGCCCAAGCCCCTTCTGGTTCCCACGGCCTAGGCACACTGCTCCTGAGAAGGAGTCACCGACTCTAAGTCACTTCCAGAACTACTGACACTCCCATTTCCATTTGCAAATTCTCATCAGTGACAAAGCACAGCTGGGCCTAGATGGCACAGTGAGGTGGAGTGACTAAGCTGCTATTCCACCACTAGCTGCTCTATTAACATACACTTCTATTAATCATCTCTGACCCCTTCCATTGCAACCAGCAGTTAAGAATTTCAAGAACCAGAGGTAAGCCTCCCCCCCCCAACCACCACCTGCAGCTTCAGCTAGCATCCTGGGAACAATGACTGGGAAATGTGGGGTGTGAGAAATAGAGGGAAAGCCAGCTGCTCCCCTCACAGCTTGATGGGATATAACAGGCTGAGCAGGAAGGGTGCGCTGGGTTGTTGCACTGGAGCAAAATGCTTCTACACCCATCTGTCACCTCCCTGCCCTCTGTCTTCCCAATGCTGAGCCCATATGGTCTTCCTCACAGGCTTTTCTATGCTCCGGTGGTTAAGTCAAATCCTTCATGCGAACTCCACGCTGGAAGCAAATCAGTTTAATTAAAGTCTCTGCTGAGTTAATGCAGTGTCTGCTCAGAGGCCAGCTACTTTAACTGGAATCTAGACAGCTGAGATTGTCTCCTTTCCTTTTCCTCATTAGCTGAGAGATTCACAGCTCTATGGGGTGGAACTTTGCCATAGCGCCATTTCATTAATCCTAAACTAGATGGCAGGAAGCAGATCCAGAATCATTTCTGCACAAGGCCTACAAGGGGTGGGTCTGCAGTTGTTCAGGGAGAGCCCTTGTGCCTTTCGGAAGGTCCCCACAGTGATGTGGGAAGTCACCGGCATGGTGCCTCGGAGCCTCTAGAGTGGACAGGGTGCAGTTAACACAGACGACCAGCTCTCCTGTGCCTGGAGGCACTCGGCAGGCGCACCGCACACAGCACAGTGCAGAGAAGCCGGGCTCCTTCAGGTCACGGGACTCGGGATGGAGCTGGGACTGGAGAGGAGCCCCCTTTACTCCTCCCCATTGATTTTGTCCCTCAGAGGACACATGTGCACTACAGGCATGCACTCAGGATAAGGGAGGCCAGGAAGCTTCTCTCTCAAGCACACACACAAGAGCCCTGGGCCCAAGAAACACTTCTGCTAACCTGCAGGAAACCATTACTGAGCAAAAGAGGAAGATTTCAAAAGACTTTGTGTCTCCCACAAATTCTGCACTGTCGGGCCTGCCTTTCAAGCTTGATGAACTCTAGTCCTCCTGTCCATTGTCACTGAAATACAATCATAGCAGCTTAAAATCCACAGTTAGTCATACAATCGAACAGCAGGCAGATGGGGTACATGTCACACTGCAAAAGAAGCAGGCCTATGTTGCAGAACAAGGGGATGTTTTGAGATTCAAGGCAGAACATGAGTGAACAGTGTGACTTTAACACATCTGAACTTTCTCATTTTACTCAAACAGGAGAGTGGTTTGTTTTGCTGGTAATTTAGTAAGGTGGGAAATTTTAAATAAGAAGGGGAAAGGGAATGCTTACTTCACTTAAAGAACTTAATCTCCGTGTCAACACAGTCAAAGAAAAGGTCCCCCACTTCAGTGGGGTCCAGGGGTGCAGAGCTGGCCAGGATCTCCTCCATGGCTTCCAGGCCCTGCTTCTCCAGTTCCAGCATGGTCTTCCTCAGCTTGCGACCCTGCTCCTGAGGAAGGACAAGGACAGTGGGGGTCATCACAGTGAACACTCACAGCCTCCCAGGGGCCACCCACCCATTCAATCTGTTTCCCACACAACTGCCACAGGGATCATTCTAGAATGTCAGTGTGGTTATGTCACTGCTCTGCTTGGAACACTTACACAGCTCTCTGCTGCCTTCAGGATAAAATACAGACTCCTGGGTGACAGTCAGGAAAGTCCCTTGGAAACATACAGGCTCTTCCCTGCCTCCCCTCCTGCCACACACCCCCATCTCCCTCCTCATCAGCCAGACTGAACAGCATTCCTCCCACCCAGGCTACTCTTTCTCACCACCGCACAGGCACCCCTGCTCTTCTTCAATGCTCGGTCGACTTTCACCTGTCTTCAGGCCTCTGAATGCCTTCCCTCTGGCCTCCCACAACCCAATGCCTTCTGCCGTAGTTGTTCTTTTCCTGTCCTGTAATGTTTTGTCTACTGGTCTGTGTCCCCTACTAGACTATGATCTCCTAGGGAGTGAGAACTAGGCTTGTCTCTGTCCTCCAGTGCCTGGGAACACAGCAGGCATCCCCAATAAATGTCTAAGGAATGGATAAATGGATCAGTGGATAAACACATACCATGTCTATCCCTAACTTACTTTTTTTCTGAGGGTGTGAGATCTCCTGCTAAGTGGGAATCACTCCTTTACAGTGGATGACAGTGAAAAGCTTTCATTTGCCTAATTAGTCCCAGAACAGAGAAGCTGCTGTCATCGCCCACCACCGCTTTTTAACCCTGCCTGTGACTCAAACCAACAGGCATTTCTCAATTTCAAAGCCCATCCAACTTCATTAGTCTCCTCTCTTTGAAGTTTTGTGTAGAACAGCTCAGAATACAAGGCCCTCTGCCTTCTAGATGTCAAGTAGCCATAAAACCATGCATCACCAAGTGACATTTTATTCAGGGCTTATTATTGTCATCCACCTAGAAATATGCAGTGTCAGGAGCTAATGGGGACAGCCCTGGACAAAACTCAGTGCAGGGCAGTGGCAGCATTCATGGTTCTGGGGAAATGCCTGGCAGGGAGAACAGATGTAAAATAACTGACTTTTACAAGTCCCAGGGGCACATCTGTGACATACACGAGCAAGCTCGAGGAACAGTGAGACTGCTCTTCTCAGAGATATTCCCTGAATTCATTTGGATTTACTATTGAAATTGCCCTTTATATCCTTGTTATATAGTCCACCACACTGAAGATAAGAAAATAAGTTCACTCAGTCCATACAAAATGCATGCACCAATGTATTTAAAAGGTGTCCCTTTCTTCAGGACAAACTGGACCTGTTCCAAGTCGTTAAATAAATGCTTAGGAAGCAGATGAGCATCTAACAAAATGGTCGTCCCTCTCCCTTCAGCAAGGCAGAGGTTGGATTAGATACAGAATCCATCATTAATGGCTGCTGTGGTTATACACTGGGTCTTGGCCTCTGTTTGATGTCTTGTAACTTTATTTACCAAAGCTTTGGGTAAGACAGAGGAGTTACACTTTGAAGAATAACTTTTTTTTTTAGACTAAGAACTTGAGCATCTCTTCTTGAAACTTGTTTTATTGTGGTAAAGTATACATAACAAAAAATGTCCTATGTTAACCATTTTTTAAAAATAGTGCACAGTTCAGTGGCACACAGGCATTCACATTGTTGTATAACCATCACCCCCATCCATCTCCTGAACTTTTTTGAAGAACCACTTTTGTTTAAATAACATGACTGTATCTTTTAAATAAAGTATTGCTATTATATAAAACTCTTCACCCTCTAAAATATACAAAGAATTTTAGCAGAAAAGCAGTTATGGCTACCAGAACAGCACCTTTCTATTATTCCAAAGCAAACAGTACATAACAGGAATATTCCTAGCCCACCGACTTCCAGAATAACATCAAAAGTGGAGTCTTTGTTTCATATATTTTCAAGACACTGGGCAGACAAATTAACTCTTTCTAGGAAGGGGGCCTTGGGGACCTGGACTTCTGGGAGACACGCGGGAGAGAAGGAAAATGATGAGCTTGTTACCTCCTTTCCCACCGACCTCGCCACCCGCCGCCGGCCATGCTCTGGCTCACCTGGTCACTGTCCAGGACAGCGCGTGCCCATTCGTGGGCCTTGTACAGCTCGTGCCGACGGTCCGGTTTCTCCTGGAACCGAGGCTCCTTTTTAGCAGGGTCACTGTCCCCAAAACAAGGAGACTGTGCTTTGGGGACAAGTTTTACATCATCAACGAAGATGAAAGGCTTGAATATGGACCTAGAAAGAAGGGAGAAGTGCTCCAGCCGGAGGCCCGATGATGCTCAGAGCCTGTCCTTTCATTCAGCACATGTGCCCTGAGCCAGCTCATGGGTGGGGGAGCAGCTGGGTGCACACCAAGGGAGACACAGATGTGTACTTTAGTTAATACTTTAGTAAAACTAACTGCCATTTACAAGCTGCAGTTTCTTCTATTTACAGCCAGGAGACATCAAAACAGACTCGCTTTGTTCAGGGAAACCCATTTGAGGGGGGCCCTCTCAGTCATATACAGTAAGGCTAACAGACACACAGCATTTTGAGAAAAGGGTGCCTGGGCCATCTATTTGGGCTGAAGGAGATTTTTTTTTTTCCTCTACCACAGTTTGCTGGCAAGTGGCCTTCTGGAAAGGAAGGGTCTTAAGACTCCCCTTTTTTATGTTCTACCTTATTTGAAAATTTGTAGACTATCTCAGACAGACTCAAGGAGGGGCAGATTAAGACAGTTGACCAAAAAAAGGTTCCCCTAGGGAGGACACACCACAGAGGGACAGAAGGCTGGTTGTGTGAGAGGGCAGCTTTAGGCATAGTAGGTGGTGAATGCAAGAATTCTCTGATTCAGCTCTTTTGGCCTAACAATACATATCTCAGGGAAAAAGGCTGTGTGTGTGTGTGTGTGTGTGTGTGTGTGTGTGTGTGTGTGTGTGTGTGTGTGTGTGTGTGTGTGTGTGTACCTGTGCATACCTGGGCAGATGTCAGCACATACACACACACACACACACCTGGGATCCCAAGCCAACAGGGTGTGTGGAGACCACAGCTAACTGTAACATGGGGCAAGACTTTCTTTACCCCTCTCTGCACCCAGAAAAAAACACTGTTAGGTCAGAGCAGCACTCCAGGCAGAGCACAAGCTCCTCTGAGCCCCGGGGGTGGCCTGTTCTTGGCTAGATCACGAGGCAGCCCCTGCAGGAACAAAAGGAGGGAGTGAGAACTCCACACACCCTCTCCCAGTGAGTCCTCATAGATTTGGGGTATTTTCTCTCCTCTTACCTGGTGCACCTTGGCCCACCCTATGCCTCAAGGAGGATAGGGGTGAGCAGGGATACTGCCGCCCTCCCACCTGGGGGGTCGGGGCTTGGGGCAGCCAGGGCAGCAGTGCCTTGTGCACACGTGTATTTCCGTGTGTGCCACAATCTGAACAGAACTGGGCACCGATGACCCTTGCTCCCCACACTGTGTGCTTGGACTTGAGGCACCAGCACCACCGCCAGGCCTCACTCTCTCCCGCTGGACCTGCCTGCTGGCAAGGCCCACAGCCATTTGTGACAGATCAAGTCTGAGCACCCCCACTCCCGCTGCCCCAGAGCAGAGCGCTCCTAGGAAGCCTTCTGTGAGACGGTTCCGTGTAAAGCCAGGAAGCCAATACCGTTGTGCAGAGGCCAAATCCTCTGGGTCTCTCTCGGTTAGCAAACACAGGCCCTCGTGCAGGCCTCCCGCAGCAGGGAAGGGCAAAAAGTAAGCTTTCCGAAAACAGGGAAAATCTGTGATGAAAAGGAAGCTCTCAGGTTAGTTCCCTGAGGCTATCAAGGGGAAGAGGGCTTAAGTGAGAAAAGAGTGTGCGAGACTGGGCTCAGACTGATTCAGTTTGAATAGTTAAAAGCAGTGAGAACCCAAGTTGGTGAGCAGGCAGTTCTGGTTAAGGAGAGGGGCTGGGCCAGCTCCTCCGCTGGTCTCTGTGGGTGATGCGGGTGATGCAGACACACGCAGGAGCCTGGGCCCATCCTCAGCCCCGCCTACAGGAGGCACAAGGCAGCTGGCAGCCCGACTCCACCAGGCCAGGCCCTCCCGTGGGGCCTCCCTCCCCAGGACGCAGGGGAGCTCCCCTGGTCGGCACCTGCCACCTCCCATGGCCTGGCCGCAGGTCACTCCTCCTCCCTTCACTGAATGGGGAATGCAAGACTGCTGAGCGTAAGATGTAATGCAAAACTGAAAAGCATCCAGAACCATTCTGACTACGTGACACTGCATTCTCCAAACGGTCATTCAGCTGATTCTGTAAAAGGGCTGCGGTTTGAGGGTTTACTGAATGAGGGTAATGGAGGGTGATGGGGGAAAGGGAGAGGAAAAAGGAGAAGGGAGGGAAGAAAAGGGAAGGGAGAACGAGACTCCAGTGCAGACACATTCAGGTCTGGCTACGCCTGGGCCGCTCTGGTCTCTGACAACACAGCAACCTGTCCCCAGCATACAACAGCACTTGGGGTTCACCAAAAGTCAGTGTGCATCACCTCGTCTGCCAGAGATGGTAGTCTGCAGCCTCCTTGGCCAGAGCCAAGCCTTGGCCCACCCTTCTGTGGGACACTGGGCCTGGGGGTCCTGCCCAGCAGCCCAGAGCCTGCGTGGTTCACTCCTTCTCAGCCCCAGGGCCTGTGCTGCGCAGTAAGGGTCAGAGCCACGGCCTCCAGGGGCTCAGGCCTGGCAGGGAGGTTGGTACAGGCTCAAACACTGGCAAGCCTGAGGGAACTACAGGATCCAACAGAGCTGCTGAGCCCATGCTGCTGAGGAGACCCCTTGGGAGAGGAGCTATCCCATTTCCCACCCACCCCAGGCCACAGACGATGTTCCTGTGAGTGATGCAACCCCACACAGTCCCCTGCACCACACCTTTTCTCTAGTCCCGAAAGCAATGTTTTCATCAGGAAACCCATCATTTCATTTCTGAAACCTCAGGGATTTGCTTACTATGCATCTTGGAGCTGCTTTGACACACTGGCCCCGAGGGATGGGGGAGAACTGGACACTGGGGGGCCGGAAGGGTGCAGCCTGGCAGCACCTGCCGGGATGAGCAAAGGTGCCAGGTCGGCCTGACACCTGCCAGTGGGGCAGGGAACTGGGCAGGGACTCACGCTGGGGGTATGCATCCTCTCTACCTCGGCCAACTGGGGGGCCCGTTGTTTTCCCCCCTTGTCTCTCATCTGACCTAAAATGATCGCTATGGTCCCTTCCAGCTTCCATACCTATTATGTTATTTTTACTTCTGTTTCTATTTCCATGTCATGCAGCTTGTGAACTTGTGACTCTGACTTCAGGAAGTTCATACCAAGTAGTTGTGGTCTTCTGCATCCAATATATAGACTAATAGCATAGTAAAAAAATCAGAGCATTTTATTTTATGTAACTTCAAACCCAATCCATGCTCACTGGAATGTGGGGTTTAGTTTAACATCAACAAGGGTGTCTGGTGGCTTTTCTAAGACATGTGGCACTATATGTTTACCACTCCCATCTATCAGTTTTATTTTTTAAAATGAGTAATAAATGTGATGATGTTCCCATAATATTCTAAAGCACACAAAGCTGTCCAAGGATTTTTCTCCAAAGTTTATAAGGAAGTCAGCATCCTTAACTACTAAAAAGGAAGTGTAGTAAGGAAGTATAGATTTGTCGGGTGGCTGAAGGGAGTTTTTTGAGATTGAATAACTAAACATTACTGCTGATAATAAATTACAATAACACTAATATTTATCTAAATCAGAATGTGGGAAATACCTATAATTCAGGCTTGATAATTTGTCTCTGCATATCACAAAAGGGGAATGTCGATACCTCAGTGGTTCCCAAACCTGATTTCTTCTCAATCCTTATAGAAAATCACACTAAAATTCCAAACAGATGAGAATCTCTGACGTTTTCCCACACTTAAAACTCAGACAGTAGCCTCTTAAATGCCACCTGATTGAACACATGCTAAATGGCCCAGAGAGATGACAAGATTTGACCAAGGTCACATATCCAGCTGCTGGCAAAGCTGACATACGACCACACCCTCCCCAGGCCACCCAGGCAGGGCGGGACCCACTGCATCACGCGCAAGGAGCGGCTCTGATATCAAACACAGTCAAGAGGATCCAAAAAGCTGAATCTGCTCGGTCCTCAGGGCTGCTGCTCAGACTCACCTTCAGAGAAGTCACCTACCCTAGAATTCACCCTGGTCACTCAGCCCCTCCGTGGTGTGCTGACATGAATACAAGACGGTAAGCCCAAAGGCGGAAAGTGCTTCCCGTGGGAAAGGGCAGCCTGGCAGCTGGTTAACGAGGAAGTTTAAAGCTGCCTGAGCTACTCTAGAGAGACAACTCACCCTTGTGAGGGACAATTAAACAAAGGAGGCCATGTCACCGCAACTGTCAGCTCACACTGAGAAGGTCTCAGGTCTGATGCACAAGTTTAAAAACACAGAGCACAGAACCGGCTTCCAAGGTCTGTCTGGGAGGTCTGCAGAGTTCTAGCCTTGGGTCATTTTGAGCCACAGCCAAGAAACATGCTCCACTGGAAGCATCTTTCCCTGTCTTTTTATCTTCCCATACCTGTGGTGGATGCACCAAACCAGTGTAAAAAAAATCTCTAAACATTTTCCTTTCACTTTTCTTCTCATTTGGAAGGAGAACAAAATTAGCATGAAAATCTCTAACATTTTACTGTGTATCTGAATTTTCAAAGTGCTTGCATTCAGTTCTCATGGTACCCCTATTCACTCGTCCATTCAGTACATCCATGCTGAGTGCTGGCTGAGCACCAGAAACTGTTCTAGGCACTAGGGATGCAGCACCGAGCAAGACAGGGCAAAGCCTTCAGCCCCAGTTTACAGATGAGATGACTGAGGCTCACAGAACCTAAGTGCTTTGTCCAAAGGCACGTTCCTAATAATGTGCAGACTGAGAACTAAATTCAGATTGTCTAAAGCCAAGACCAGTTAAGAACCCGCTACTTCTCATCATTATTTCCTTCCGTTGGTATTTTTTACAGACAGCTATGCTACTGCAGAGAAATAAAATACTTTTGTGCCACACTTCTGTCCTTGAACATGGCTCTGTTCTTACTGAAGGTGCAGAAACTCCTCAAGCAGCTAAGCCAGGTTTATCCCATGCCCTGGAGTCCCGGCCGATCGGCTGAGGGGGCTTCACAGAGAGGAGCAGCATAAGGCTCCTGCTCAGACGAATCTACTCAACTTTCAACCAATCCGAAAAGAACCTAGAATAACCAGGTTTTCTCAACTGTGGATGTGCCTCTGAATGGTTCATCTATGGGCCATTCCAGCTTTACTGGGAGTCACTTTAATCATGTAGTCAGAGCCACATCTGGCTGAGAGCAGAACTCATCAGTGAAGGAGTTTCCACTTAGAGAGAATGAGAACCAGTAGTTTTGGAACATGGGGCAACCTCAAGGCTGGATCCAGATGCTCCGGGAGCTTTTGGAAAGCCAAAAACGTAGGGTAGGAGAGAAGAGAGAAGGCATCAGAAGAATTCACAATGAAACTTGTGTGGGGGGGTGGGGGGAGGGGATGCTTTTTTGCCTAAGGCCTCAGCTGCAAACGTCAGTGCAGGCAGCACCCTGCTCAGCTCCAGGGGCTGCAGCTACCTAAGACTTATGTTAGCTCCAATAACAGAAAGGTGCTACTTGTCGCTACCATTTGAATTAACCAGATGAGACCTCTCCGCTGATCCAAGTTGGCCTCTTGAGCTCAGCACACTGGGAGAAGAGAAACAAAACACACACAGCACCCACTATGTCCCGTGCAGCTGTCCGGCTCCTTGCCACTAGTTAAACTAGGTCAAACACCCTGTTTTCCTAGAACACTTCCTCCCTATTTTCTGTTTCCTAGGCTGAAGTACACAGCCTAATACAGCCTGAAGAAATAGGCTAGGAAGTAGCCTTCCAATACTTAAATTTTTTAGTTCTTCCCTCCTGTATCTCGAGTATTTGTGTGTTTTCTCAGACATGTGGGCCTCTGAGTGGTGTGTGGTTTGACAACTATATCTCTGAAAAAAAATTAGCCCTGATCCACAGTGTCTGCCCATTTCTGTGGTATAAATACACCCACCGTGGCCCATTTCCAGGTACTAATTTGACAGTGCTAAACACAGGGTTGGAAACAGATGCACATAAATCAGCTCTCATTTGCTCCAGTACACTGCAGGACTCTGAATTTTACACTGTCTCAAAATGCTAAGGGTCCTCTCTACTCTTCCCTCTCCAACTCTTCACATCAGTGGAGTTTTAACAAGCACTGGCTTCACCTGGGGACAGCCTCGAAAGGTCAGAACCAGCATGCTAAAGCCAGTCAGTGTCACTGTCTGGATGATAGAGGCACCAGCTGACTCAACAGAGTATTGATATGGTGGAATTTGCCTTCTCAATAAAATTAAAGGTCTTCTGCATCCTTGTATCTCTCAAACTGACTTCTGCAACTCCCTTCCAACTTCCAAACTTACATGGTGCCTGGTACACACCAAGAGGAAGGGTGGAAAGAAAGCAAGGAGGAAGGAAGAGAAAAAGAGCAGGTGAGAACAAATTATTTTGAGGCAAGGATCTGTAATTCATGGGGTGAGTAAGAGCAGAGAAGTGCTGAAACAAATGGAACAATGTAAGATCACATCCTTTGGTTTCAAATATTAATTGAGAGGAATAACAGGAACATACTTCATCCTCCGTCCTCCATCCAACACAGTCCTGCTCTTTGATCAAAATCTTGCAAGTCCACTGCTCTGAAACTATTTCCTGAAAACATCTCTCTAGTGCTTTTAGCTTTAGCAGAGGCCAGCTAAACTTTCCTGATCTTACTACCTGAAAACCCAAGAGTAGGTAATTAGGCCTCCTGCTGACAAAACAGAAAATGTTGAACAGGCCCAATTACAGAGAAACATTGAAACGAACAGGAGAAAAAATTCCACGGCAGTTCTAGAGTCACAATCAGAAATGCAGCTCATTTAACAAAAGAAGATAAAAATGAATGTCTCCAGAAAGCCCTTAATCTTCTTTAAGGTCTTTTCAATTAACTTAACCATGAATAATTTTCTTTTAAAATTACCTGGTATTTTCCACTTTAAATATTAGAAAGCTATTTCCCAACCCATTATTAGAATTGTATTAGGCTGTTGTACTTCAGCCTAGAAAACAGAATTCCTATCAATAGCATGCATATTAGTGTCCCAGCATCACAAAGCTGTCTTGTAAGAAGTCAGAACAGGGGTCTGAGATCTGGAACACAGGGGCTGGTGTAGTCATTCTCCGCTTCAACCTACTCCTTCAAAGACGCCTGCTCCCTAAAGAACAATGTCCAACTGCCTTGGCAGAGCATTGCAGACGTTTTAAAGTCAGGCTCTAGGTGCTCACGCGTACCCCAGTGGGCCAGCAAAGTGCCCACAAGAAGCTGCTGAGCCACCAGCATTGGAGGTAAGCTGGGAGGAGGAGAGGAGCCCTAGAACCGGTGGAAGAAAAAGCGGATGGGAGTGGGGCCACGGAACCAAGCGTTCAGAACTGGGAGATAAAACCAAGAGAGCAGCTGGGGTCCAATAGCACATCCTGAGAAGCACGGGAACACTGCTGAGTGGTGGAGGCGCACCGTGGGAGGCCAGCAGAGGTACTGCTGAAGGTGGGGGCCTCGTTTACTGGTGAAGTTGGGGTGGAGAGATGGAAACCTAATCTACAAGAGGATGCGCAACTGCAACTGTTTCCTGCTTCTCTGCCTTCTGCATGTTGTTCCCTCTACCCCCAATGTCATTCCTGCTTTTTGTATCTAAAAACTCCTCCTCTTCCCACATCACCCTGTGTTCAGTTCCTTCCTTCCTTTGTGGTTTCCCCCTTCACCATCCCCTGTGTACCACCTCTTACCTTATACACCTTTATCCCTAGTACCCAGCAAACACAGTATTTGGTATACAGCAAAAGCTTAGTAAGTGCTTGCTGAATGAATAAAGGAGTGAATGAAAAACTAAGACTAGCTTATAACAAATTTAACAGTCAGGCCTTGCTAGAATACTATTGATAGTAGCAGTAGTTTGAAAAGTGATGACAAAGGGTCAGAGGCAGTACTTGGCTTTTCCCTTGAGTCACCTAAGGTCTCTAGCTCGACACCATTGTCTTCTATTCCTGAAACATTAAGAAGAAAATAAATATTTTAAGCTGGAAAGGGAATGAAATTGAACAGCTGCAGATATCCTGGCACCCCATAAGTTTGACATCCCATATTCAAACAATCTTGATGGTTTTCAGCCAGTGGAACACCTGAAAAATACCAGAGAACCTAATAATAAGTAGTCTTCTAGAACTTTCCAGGCTGAGGATCGGCCTTACCTGACTTACCTTAGATTCCTAAGCCCACCTTAAGGATTCTGATACAACAGGTTTGGGTCAAGGCATCTGTAATTTTCAAAAACTCCCCCAAGTGATTCTGATAAAGATGAGATTTAGAAAACACTAGATAGTTGGGCCTAAGCTATGATAATGTGATTTGTGCTGTACATGACTAAATGTTACAGAGAGGGGGCTACTGTCTGCCTGGTAGATTGAAGATAGTCTTAATAAAGAATAGTTAAACCTACTATGTATTTAGTTGATTATCTCATTTAATCATCCTAACAAGCATATAAAAATAGAGGCTGGTATTATCACTATTGCACAAGTACAGAAACTGAAGCCTAGAGAGGGTAAGTAACCTACCAGAGACTAAGTGACAGAGGAGGACTTCAAAATCCTGGCAGTTTATTCTAGAGGCTATGTTCTTAAACACTATGCAGTACAATGTTTTTGTTGAAGTACGTGGACAGGAAATAACTCCCTAAAATACAATGTCCCACAGAAGTGGCCAGTGCTCTTCAAGTTGCTTGAATCTGTGTTGCCTCTGGACCATTTTGTCCTCTAACTCATAGGAATTGGTTGTTTTGATAAATCTTGAGCATTCTTATATCTGTCTCACTGTGTCTTACTTACCTTTGCATAGTTCATATATAGCACAATGCCTGGCCCATGATATACACTCAGTAAACATGAGCTAAATCTGAAACCATTTGATTGCATGATTTTGATGAATACTATGCAACTAAGCCAAGAGCTTCCCTTAATCAAAGCTCTCTCCCTGTTGCATTGGCCATGTTGAGGCCAATTGAAAACTGTGACTCTGCTCTACAGGAATTTAGTGTACGCTTCATGGATGAGCTTCCAAGGGAAGCACACACTCCCTGCTGACATAACTGTGTCTCAGACAAACCTGGAAGGATCTGGGGTCCCAGTGAAGTAGTGAATGCATGGCGAGCTTCTGTTCTGAGGCAGGACAGACACTACACTGGCCGTGGTAAGGAAAGACTCGGAGTCTATGCAGACTCCACTGGCTTTGTCCCGTAAGATATCAATCATAGTCTGCACTGTGATGCTTTCTGTAAAGGGAAAAAAAGTGGTGGGGGGGAGAGAGAGAAGATAAAACAGTTTCCTCCCTCTGTTTATAATTCATTAAAATGCTATTCTTTCAGTCTGTGTTCACAATGATGGAATCAAAGCATTACATAGAGAAAAGGTGCCTTAAACTTACTAGCATAACTCACATCCTCTTTGTAAATCTCTATTTTCAACATGTCACATCTAAAAATATTAACAATAAATCCTTGATTTCTTTAACTATCCAGTGGTCAGATTTCTTCATTGTCTCATAACTGAGTTTACTGATTTAAATCAGTATCCAAGAGATTGATAATGTCTCTTAAATCTCTTTTAATCTCTGCCTGACATTTTTCCCGCTTGCATTTTATTTGTTGGACCATTTCTCCTGTAGATTTTCTCGTCTGGACTCTGCAGATGGCATCCCCTAGTGTTACTTAATATGTTCCTGCACCTTCTGTATTTCCCATAAACTAGTAGCTAGATTCAGAGGCTTCATCAGATTTAGGTTTGATATTCTGGCAGGACTGCTTCACACATGGTACTGCATACTTTTTCAAGCTAGTATTATTTATTAAAAACTTCTGAAGTTTTTTTTTAAGTTTCCATTTTAAAATGGTTACTTTCTTACTTCCTACCCAGAACATATTAACTAAATTCTACAGCAAAAGTCCTAAAATGTTCTTCTAGATTCAGGGTCAGCAAACTTTTTCTTAAAGAACCAGGCAATAAGTATTTTCAGCTTATGTGCCATATAATCTTCATTGCAACTTACATGTTGAAACTGTGTAACTCTGCTGCTCTACAGAGAAGCAGTTATAAACAAGACATATAAATATGCAGAGCTGTGTTCCAATAACATTTTATTTACAAAACAGATTTCTGCTGACAAGTCACAGTTTGCCAAAGCCTGTTCTAAATGATCAAACCAGATCTTACAAAACACTGTATCACTGGCAAATATAAAATGTGGCCGTTATGGTTTATTTGGAAGGGTTTTCACTCAGACATAAAAGTAACAAGATATCCAGTCATTACATTTACCTAAATATGGATTCTGATTAAGTCAATAACTGAGTAGAAAATAAAGGGCTCATGAGGAGTATTCAATTCAACAGTTCAACTCAATAAATGTTTAAGGGACAAAGGACTGTTAAGAGGCATCACAAGGGGATCCCTAAGATGATGCCTCACGGCCCAGGAGGCTCATGGGAGAGGAAAATGCACAGAGATGTTAAGTCAAATACGCAAATGCTGAAGTACAAGGAAGGCCACAGTAAGTACCACAAAGAGAAGCACAGTGACACCAATGTTTAAAGGGGCAGTAACATAGGGAGGAGCAGGAAACTTCCATGGATGTGGAAAAATCTGTAAAATAAATACAAGTTGCTATCCTCCCTGCACATCACAGACTTCAGCACAGGTTGGTCTCTACAAACAACGTCTGTTGTCTACTCCTCTTTGCTCACCCTCTTAAGTTCAGACATGTTCTCTAAAACAGCTTCAAGACAAAAGGGTATGAGAGAGATCATCGTAAGGGATATACTAACTCACCTTCTTTCTTTTCTAAGCTGTCTTTGCCTGCACAACAGTCTAGATGGTCATCAGTTGAAGAAAAAACTTGAGAAAAGTTGAACTCATCCTCTCCTGTCCACCAACCTTGACTCTCAGCATAACTCCTGAGTTCAGGATGTTCTGCGTCAATTTTAGTGGTGAGTGACAGCTGATTGCAAACACACTTCACTCCCTCTGTAGAGAGTACAAAGCCCAGTTAGTTGAAAATACAGACTTAATCGAGAAATGTAAATTTACATGGGATTCCTCCCGGGCAACTCAACTTTAACTACAGGGAGCACTCAAGTCCATTTCTGGAGAAACAGATAATCCTTGGTCCTCTTTTAAGGAGAAGACCAGATGGTTTGATGATTTTTGACCAGGCGTTTTCACATTTTAAAGGAGCAATGATCACTTGATCTAAAATTCGCAGTCAGAAGGAAACAAGTGCAGCCCTTCACTATGGCCAAAAACCCAAGCATTTGTCACTTACAAGAAAAGTGAGAAGTACTTTGAAAGAGGCACTGTGCTACTAAAAAGACTTACGAATGTCACAACTGTAGAGATTCTTCCTCCCCAATTTAGTCTTGCTCCACTTAAAGGAACATTTCATATCGACACCTTTAGCCCAAATACATGTATAAGTTTTTTTCTTTTTTTAACACAAATATAGTACTTCTTCACTCAATTTTTCTTATTAATTTTATTTTGGTATCATTAATCTACAATTACATGAAGGACATTATGTTTACTAGGTTCCCCCCTTCACCAAGTCCCCCCACATACCCATTCACAGTCACTGTCCATCAACATCTTCACTCAATTTTTTAATCAGGTCCTAACATTTAGGAACACATAGTGGCATGGATAATGAATTGTTTTCAAATGGAATGTACCTGCGAATATATATGTGTGTCTGAGTGTGTGAATATGTGTATATGTGTATATGTGTGAAACATCTATGGGAACTTTTTTCTCATAAAAATATGAGTGTAACTAAGTAAATCTAGAATCAGAAATGCCTGCATTCTGAGTCCACCCCACCCTGATGAATGAAGGTTGGGCCAGAAATCCTCCTCTCTGCTGGCAGGCTTGTTACAGCTTCTCCAAAGACTCAGCAAAGACACAGGATGGCCTGGCTTTCTGCTTCACATGCCGTCTAAAACACCAAGTTATCAGTTGTAGCTCAAAAGGGCGATTCATATTTCTGCTTCCAGGAAGCATGCCGATCCTCTAAATTCTTGGGGAAGGAAGTTGAGAAAGACAGAGAGCCCAAACCATAAGTTGCAATAAAACCATTACTGCCTGAAAACCAGGTCCTGGAGGCAAGATCAGTGCTGTGCTGAGTTCTTCCGGGAGGTTCTGCTTCACTGATGTACCTCCAAGTTAAGCACAACTAGCTGATGCGCATTTGTCCTTTGCCATTCATCTTATCAGAGGACACCCTAAGGGTGAAATTATTTTGAAAAATTAAAAGTAGCTTTGGCCTGAAGAAAATATTCAGGTATTATTCATACTAAACATTAAAAAAATCTTGTGAACAGTATCACACATGTGATTTTCCTAAAGGGCTGATTTATAATGGGCACTTGCCTTCAAGAATTTTATCTTTCAGGGGCCAGAGTTAATTCAATCCTACTGCAATCACACTGCTGCTGGGGTCAGGGGACATGAAATCAATGGGTCCAAGAAATGGCTGGAGTTTTATTTAAATATTTAGTGAAAGACAACATGCATCTTCAGGAGACAGATTTTTTTCTTTTTTTTTTTTTTAGGAGAGCAAGGTACAGGCTTTTATTTAGAAATAAAGTGAGAGGAAAGAGCTCCTGGCTCAAGCCAGGAGAGGACAAGAGAGCTCGGGTGGTGCATTGTCTAGGGGATTTATAGGCAGTTGAGGATTTTTGGGAACTGAGGGCTTAGATTGTGGACTTATACCACCTGCCCTGCCCTCAAGGTGGGCTGGGTTGTTGTCTGTTTGCTAGGGCTGTTTACAGTGAAGTCACGGGTTATGCTGAGATACCCTTGCAGAACACTGCAAACATTCCAGGCCAAGTTGCTCCTGGCCTTTTGACCTTTAACTGATCTTCATGAAGATGTCTATATTCCTAGTCTGGTATCTTTACTCTAGAGAATTAGTGTGACCTCGACTTTGCATAATGCTGAACACAGAGTTTCGATAGGGGCTTTACATTGTTACATTGCTTTGACTGTAAATATCCTGCCTTGTTTTTTCCAGAGACCCTCACCCTACTCTAAGCCCATTGTCTCTGTCTCATTCCCCCCTCTACAGATAGAGACCCTAGCTGCTGCTAGGGAAAGGGGGCGATAACCGCTCTGGCTGCTTCATGCGGAGAAGGGGTACAGTAAAGTATGCAGTTAGGTCTCTATCAGTGGTCAGTTGAGAGGGCCTCAGAAGATGGGCACTTCTATTCCAGGTTCTATTTTTATTACTATCTGCAGTTTTGCGGCTTCTGTAGATTCGGGTGAATTCTTCTTTTCTTGAGGTTCTCAATGCATTCCTGAGTTTCTTGCACTTGCCAGGAAGTAAGCTTCCTTACTCTCCTGGTAAGGCTGCTGGGAACTCTCCGAAGTAATCCTGGACAAGCCCCCAAAGATGATGCCGGGGTTCTTGTTCACGAAGCCGAAGAATGAGCTTCACAAACATTCAAGGTAGGAGAGCCAGGGAGAGGCTTTTATTCAGAAATAAAATGAGAGGAAAGAGCTCCTGGCTCAAGCCAGGAGGGGACAAGAGAGCCCAGGAGATAGATTTTTAGAGCTGTATCTTGAAGGGAAGCTGAGCTTTAGAAATGCAATTATAAATACAAAAGTTTTAAGTTTAACTTAAAAGCAATATGACTGCTTTTCAGCATGGACCACTAGCCCTCCTTAACTGGAAGAAACTTCCTGGTAAATTCAGTTGAGAAAAATATATAGGCCAAGTATACCTTCAACACGAAGAGAGTGTTTTGATCTGTTCACCATGTCTGCCATGGGTGCAGGGTGTGGAATGGCAGCATACATACCATGTATTTGTCATCAAGTCCTAAGGAATATAAGAGCTTCACCGGCCAACTCTCTCTTAGAACCTTTCAGTCCTCTCAGAAGCCCTTTAACCCGTTCCGGCATCCCACCTGTGCAGAGCATGAGGCCACTGAGGCGATGACCCCAGCCAGCCACTCCCACCTCTACCATTTCCTCCCCAAGAACTATCAGAACGAGATGCTGCAGCAGGCACAGAGCAGCGGTCCGATGGGTACTGAACCCTTCCGGATGGGTTCGCAAGTCCTCTGCTCTTCTAGGAACACTGTCCCACAGACAGACAGGCCTGTTGGTCCAAAGGCGTTCAGTGGTCTTCCCACAGACCCAGGTTCTTCTTTTAGAGAAAATTCCACACACAGAGAGCTACAGGGCTGGGGGTGACCAGGCGTCGCTCCCTGCCAGAGTGATCCTCTTATGAACGGAATGGGAAAACCACCATTTCTTTAGCCAATTAACAGAGTAACAATCTGAGTCCTGGACTTGCTGGTAGTCAAAACCAGGCCCTGCTCAGAAAGCAAACAGAAAATCTTTCAGAGGGTGCTTCCCAGGTGTTAACATCCCTCTGCACTCTGGGTTCTGAGCCAAGGTTCCTCTCTAGAAGCAGAAGAGCAGAAACGGGAGGCATGCCAGCCACAGAACCAGCACAGAGAGGGTCTGCGGCAGCAGCACAAGTCCTGTAAGCCCAGGCCACAGCCACTGCAGCCTGTCCTGTGCTCGGAACCCCTCAGCACCCACACGCACTCACCTGTGACCTTCTCGGCAGCCCAGTACCTGCCCACGGTCTCAAGCACCCAGGCCTCTTCCCCATCCACAATCAGATATGCACTTTGGAAGCTGTGGCAGGAGCCGGCATCTTCATAGTAATTCCCACCTTGCCCGTGTTCTCCCAATAAGGCGACAATGACGTCTAAGGCTTCTTTAGCTGTTGTCCCTCTTTCTAAACCAAGCCTGAAGTAAGGAAACCGGAAGTGTATCTCAGTCATTTTGTACCACATGATTATAGCCTCACAATAACCAAAGACTGGGATGAGGCTGACTTATGAGGCAATATGTAAATATGTTAAATACACAGGCCAATATGCAAAAAAGTTAATGGCATTTAACTCAAAATACAAGTCTCACATGTTTGGTTCAAAATCTCAGGGGTGATTTCTATCTTGGGGCATTCCCCTCCCTTCACAGACCTCGAGTCAGGAACCCAGGGGCTTCTCCCTCTTGCAAGAAGCTCAACCATCTCTCTCTCTCTTTTCTAACTGTCTCCCACAGAGCTGGCCAGCTCAGCAATAGCCCTTAACAAGAACCCCTTTCTGTGGCATATTCTCCCTCCTTCCTCCAGGCAAAAGGAAATCTTTGCCCAGTCCAACCCTGCTCTCTATTATTCTACACCAGGTATTTTGTTTAGTGGTAGAAGTGTTCCACAGCCAGCCACTGTCCTCAGCGTGCATCATTTACTAAGAGATCTCGCTGGGAATGGGCCGGCTGGTTGGGACGTGATCAATCCTTGTCTACATGTTTGTCCTCCTCCTACCAGCCTACCTCCAGTGACACAGCTTATGGCTTCAGCTATCAAAAAGAATATATTTCTTCTGAAGTGAAACACCACCTTCCTCCCAGGCCCTCCAATTAAAAGAATCCTCAAATCAGGCACAGATACTGCTCTCTGTGTGATGTTGGGCATCACACTATATTTGATACTATATATGAACTTTAGTTTTATATCACCTGTAAATAAATGGGTTGCTGTGCAGATGGGTTTTATGAGTAACGAACATGAAAATACATAGCCAAGTACCCAGGACTAAGGTGATCAATAAGTTTTGTGAAGCAGCACACTGTGGCAGAAAAACAAATGGATCAGAGACGAGGGGATCTCGTTTCTAGTTCTGGCTCTGCTACCCACTGGCAGTATGATCTTAAGTAAAGTAACCTTTCCAAATCTTGACATTCTCATCTGAAAGGTAAAAACAGTACCACCACCCTCTCATGATGATTTGAAAGAGGAAGACATGTGATATATACTCAGTAAATGTCTATTTATTCACCTTTCCATTCACATAATTCTGGTAGCAAGAACACAAGAGTCTTAGAACAGAGGCAAAGAAGCCTGCTAAGATGGTAGCATAGGCCAGTCAGTTCTTGGTGAGTTAAGATGCAATCATTATTAAAATTCACCCAGCTTGATTCTTCCTGGAGGATATTCCACTGTGCAGCCAGGGAGAGGGAAGGACAATGCAACTACTCGCTATGACTTAACTCTTGTAATGCTTGTTTTCATAATCAGGTAATTACAGGTCAATTCGTTTGGCATTTCTCAATTTAAGCTTGTTTAGAAAGACTTGGTGACAAGACAATGGTTTGCAAAGCTGAACCCTAAGCCCTCAGGAGAGTGGTAAGGGAAAAAAGTCATCAGAAGATTGAATCAAGCAGAATTATCTCTTGGTCAGGGCCATCTTCCCCACAGAGGAGGAACAGGAGCAAGCACTCATCTTATCTTGAGGATCCAGAGTGCACAAGCAAGCTATGAGCACTTCTCAGGGTTCCCGGAGCTGTGCGCCCCTGGGGCGGCCCCCTTCCTCCTTTCCACAGGTTCCCAGTAGCCTCTGGTCACGCTGCCTCGTGCCCGAACTCCAAGCAGAACCCTGTCCACGGGTTTTTGCAGGGCCGCAGTGCACCCTTGCAAACTTGCTATTACTAGGAAGACCTCACCAGGGACCATAGCCCTGCCCTTGGAAGCTGTGACTTCTCTTCTGCAGTTTCTAACTCACTCTCCTGTTGCACTGCCTGCTGTGTTCCACACTGAGAACCCCAATACACACACTTGACCCTGGGAGCTCAGCCCTCATCCCAGACACGATTCTGATTTCACCCTCCCACCCTTTGTGCCAGGACCATGAGAAAAAGGTATTCCTCTGTCCATCTGACCATTCCCACCTGGCCTCCCTGTCAGGGGACAAGCCCAGGACAACGTGCCCCATATACCACACCCACAAACGACAGCAGGGTCACATGCCTCCACATGAGACTGAGAGGTGCACATGTACCACGACATGGTGACCTAGGGGCCACAAGTCACACAGTCTCAAGAGGCCTATTTTAAATCTTTTCACAACGGTCTCCCCTCCCAGGCAGGGCAGATTCATGTGATTCAAAATGGAAACAGCGCCTTTCACTCAATCTAAGGCTTTGGACAAATCAAAGTGGGCTTTGGACAAATGAGAAGATGTGGCCCAGAGAGGGATGTACCTTGGTTGGTGCACCCACACTGAAAAGCCAGGACCCCAGCTCCCAGCCCCAAATCCTCTCAACTAAGTCTTGATTCTATTACATTTCCTTTTGTGTCTGGTTCCTTTCACTTAGTATGATGTTTTCAAGATATATCATAATAGTAGCATGTATTAAGCACTTGGCTATTTTTTATTGCTGAGTGATATTCCATTGTAATCTGTTCTTTTTTCTATCACCTCAAAGTTTATATCAAAAGGCATATGGGTAGGACTATGTTATAAAATATGAGATTTGGAGGGAGATAAGCCCTGCCTCTACTCCCCACCTATTCTGGGCAGTTGTTTCAAAGAATCACCATGCAGTACCTGACCAGGTCCATCCCTAGTAAGGCTTCCACCTCAGCGGCCGGTTCTCTGGTATTGATGGCTTCATTGGCTATGCACACTCCATGTTCGTTGGCTCCCATTTCTGCCCCCCAAAGCCAGGCGGGTCTACTTATCACAATGGCATGGGTCCTGGGGACTTGGTCGATTGAAATGTAAGTGCACTAAAAAATGCAGAGAGGAAAGAAAGGACCATAGCTGTGAGGAACCACTTCATTTCCAACTTGGTACTTACACTGAACCAACACATCAGTTACAAACAGAGCCAAAAATAAAAGCCCTTAGGAACACCAGACTTTAAAGGCAATCCAAGTCTCAATGTAGCTCAAAGGTCTCACGGTGAGTTTCAGTCTTGTCAATCAGTTCTCAGTCTCTCTTGTTCAATTCTAATTTATCCATCATGCTTACCAGTAATGTTGGTCAGCTTCTTAAACAAGGTATTCAAGCCAATCTCTGCCTTCAGTATTCTGTGCCTCGTCATTTCAATAGGCACAGATGGCCACCAGCCTTTCAAACAAATGTAGCTATTTATTCTCATTTGCAAAACTTCTTCTAGATAGTAGTTTTCAAACTTTTTTGAAAGTTATAGAGCTCCATCTATGAAAGAAACTACCTAGAAGCTTAACACAGAAAGTAGAGAAAAGGGAAGATGTCTGAGGAAGGGAAGTCTGAGGAAGGGAAGTCCCTAAGCCCCCTGTATGATCCCCAGGGCTCCCTGGAACACAGTTTGACAACCTACATGATTTCTCTAGTAATAGAAAAGGGAACATGATCATAACTAATGCATTAAATGTATACTGTCTTATGCTTTGTGCTTCCCTGTCTACCCATTCTGATGTTCACCTAAACCTGGGAGGTGGACACGTAAGGAAATGGTCCCAGACAGGCACATTTCAACTGCTGTCAGAGCTGCAGTGCACACCACAGACAGCTTAGCATGGTATGTCTTACCTTCTCCAGGCTGCTGTGTCGTTACCTGGAAAATGAGTGAGCCAATCTAGATCAAACTATTTCTTTCAAAGTATTTTTAGCCTTATAGCCCTTCCTTCATACAAACTCTTCTGTAAATCATGAAGACAGTAAAACTGGTCAAAGCGTGGTGAGGCAAATGGACCTCAACACAAAAAGAATAAGGTGTGGGACCATGGTTGGCTAACTCAAAGCTTTTGCCCACTGGTTCTTCTGTTTCCCTCCCCGTAATGGGCCCCTGGGAGGTTTCTGATAGAACACTTAGAAAGCCACTAAGGTAGGCTTTCCATAAGGGGCCTCCTGACCCTGACATTCTATCAGTCCATGACACGCTCTGTGTGGTGGAAGCTTTGGTGTTCAGGGCTCTAAATTACACAGAGCTCTTGAGCTCTCAGGGGAGAATTTTGTCAGCTGTAGCAACCATTTACATTTTAAATTAGGCAGCTAAAAGCACTGGAGCAACTGCAACCTTAGATCTTTTTTTGATTCAAGACCCAGTTATAGCAACTGAATGCATCCCAGAAAGTTATTCTGCATTGATTTTCCATAATTGCTAAGCCTCAGGTAAGAGCTGCAATGCATGCAGCATGCCCCCTCATTGGTCAGGTGGTATCTGTATCTTCACAATTCAGGTTAGGTATTGCCTTTCACTGGGATAATGTTAATTCACTTGATAAATATTTGTAAACTGAAAGCTAATTAGTTGTGGAGGTTGTCAAGAGACTTAAGTTTTACATGGCAAATAGATAATAAAATATACTCTTGAAATGTTTTCCCCTATTTGGTTCCCAAGTTAACGACTTCAAAATATGATGCTTTCAGAAAGCCAAGCCAAATTGTTTAAGTAAACAATTAAATGCTGGTCTGCTGTGCTATTCTAAATGTAATTAAAGCTTATACCTTAAAATTACATCCTTTCATGCAAAAAGGTTGGGCATCAACTAACTCTTTCCAAACCCCTGTGAGCAATGAGCTCCAGTGACAAAGGCTGTCTTGAAAAGAATGAGCAAATAGGGAAAGAATCTCAGGTTCCTAAGCAGAATTTATCATAAAGCCTTCTTTTTTAAGGGCAGGAAAAAAGTAAAAATAGGAAATAGGTTTACTTCTCTGTCCTCAAATTCATTTTGATATACTCATTTTCACTTCACTGATTATTTATAGAGCACCAACCACACACAAGGCATTTTGTGCTAAGCGCTGCTGGCAGGTGAGTCAGTGAGGATGCCCAAGCCCTGTCCTTATGGCTGGGAAAGGAGGAGAAGGCACACAGGCAAATGACTGTGACCACCAGTTGACTTCTGGTCACTGAGGCTGCCTGTCTCCTAGGGGCTGCCTCTTGTCCCCTCCTCCCACTGGGTACTTTCCATCAGGCAGACCCTGCTCTGCTTTCTCTCTTTCACATTCCATTCTATTTCTATTTATCCCCTTCTAAAATATCATATCAATAACTTCTGTACTGCCTGTACTGTTCACTGTTTACATATGCTATCTCCCTTAGCTAGAATGTAAATTCCCTAAGGACAAGGAGCTATCTTTGTTGTTTAGTTCACTGATATATCCCAAGTCTGATACATATCAGGCATCAATAAGCCCCCTTTTTTTATGGGTTAATGAATGAATGAGTGAATAATAAAGATCAGAGGCTTTCATATCGTATAATAGATATTCATGTCACAAGAGAGGCCTAAAGGCTAGAGGGAGCACGTCCGAGTGGTCAGCAGCTTTATCAAGTGGGTGACATTTTAGTTGATCTTGAAAAATGAGCCAGACAGCGAGAGAGAGATGGGGATGTCAAAGGTGTGTTCACAGTCCCGGGAGGTCACCCACTGTGCCCTTTAGGGGCACCAGAGTGATCGCACTGAGTCACAGGACTGCAAGAGCTCAGTAAGTACTGATGGATAAAAATGCTAAAAATTGCATCAAAAAGACCATATGGTCTTTGAGGGAGTTCAAAATATATGCAGCCAACATGACACTTTGCAGGCCAAACTCAGAATGAGGAGGAAGGAAAATCCCCAATTAGCCAGATGGGCCAAACCAGCCCCTCCTAAGCCCTGGGCTGAGAGCCAAGGCACCAGATCCCTCTCATACGCTACAGAGCAGGGCTTGGGGGAGACGGGTTCGGGGGGTGTGCACTCACGCCCTGTGAGCCTGTAACGCACGCCCCTGATGGCATCTTTGTCACGGAATGCAGAAGTCTGGGTCTAACAAGGGCCCTGATGTGGCTGCACTCACACACGTTCCACTGTGTTTGAGGTCCCACTAACCACACGCAGGTCAGGGAGGGAGTCAGCAGGGCGCACAGACAACACTTGTCTCACAGAGATTGGTCATTCAAAATCCCAGTTTGAAAGCAAACCTCACAAATGAGGAACATTTTCACAAGATGAAGTATTTGCTAAACTTTGTAAAGACAGCCATCTAGATCATGAAATGTGCAGGCAGTCATTTATTTAAATAAAATTCACCAACCTTCACAACCGCCACGTTATTAATGAGGCAGAGAATAAGTGGGATTTGTGGTAGCAGAGGTCTCAGCAGGAAATAAAATCCAAAAAGTCCCTGAAATCTTCCTTCAGTGTAGCAAAAACAATATGATTCCCCAAGTCAGAATTCCTAGCCAAATTTCTATTAGAAAAGAAAAAGAAAAAGAACATGCCTACCACTTAAAAGATGAATCTTTACAGGGATGGTTCTGGCCCCAGCATGGGTTGTTCAGCTGTTAAGGTGGACACCAGAAAGAGATGAGCAGATCGGCTTGATGCCCCATGGCCACTGCCCCCCAGCCTTTAATAAAACAAATTTGTCAGCTTGTGTGACATCTTGGTGCCAAGGCCACATAACAGTGTAAGAATGCTCAAAGTGGGGAGCATGGAGAGCCATGCTTCTGAACGTCGACACTGCCTAATGCTGGTCACTGAGTTTTAAAGGCACTGGGCTTGCCACTCTCTCAAGTGGCTCCTGGGCACACAAGCTAGGTTGGAGGATGGAAAAAATGAGCCTAGAGACAAAAGACCATTCTTCGGCAGAGCAAGCCCTTCATTATTTCATGTGACTGTGTCAAAAATGAAAAAGCAAAATCAGCTTTATGCTCTCGCCTATCCCTCGCACATTCCAGCCACACTCTCTCTGGATATCACCCAGTAAATGGGGGAATACAGACACTCACACAATAGATGTTTCAATTCATGAAATGCAACCATTGTGCCTTTCCCGCTGTACTCAGATGGTGAACACAACCCTGGCACCACCAGAGAAAACCACTGTGAAATGAGCTGATGAGTCAGCCAGACTTCTCGGGGGTGGGAAAAAGGGCAGGGAAAATGGGATGCTTTAGAGAAATATTTTTAGTTCTAGGAAATTTGCAACTCTAAAGCAGCATGGCTCATTATCACTGAAGTTTTTTGTTTGGTATTTTTAATTTTTTTATCCCAGTGCCCTTAAGGTTTATAGGGGTCTAAATAAAGGCAGAAGCTAATGTCAATCACACTGTAGAAGAGCTGCTTTTCATTGCCCTGAAGATCTCTGCAATGAGCAATACCAAGGCCCCAGGTCAGAAATAGGCTTGGGAAAGGGGACAGATGGAAGGAAGCCCCCTGCTAAGCTATTCTCCCACAGGGTGAGGGAGATGCTTCTGACTCAACACAGGGCTGAAGCCGCCTGCTCCTGAGGCTGAAGAGAAGACAGACAGCTGGACTGGCACACAGCTAGACCTGCCCAGGGACTATGCAGCTTGGCTCAGTTCTCTTTGATTCCAGAATGTCTTGTGCTTCCCTACTGTTAGGGATCATCTTGAGAACTGAGATTCAGACAGCATCCCCCAGAAACACATACACTTCCCACACACCACAAATACAGCCACCATCTGGACCATTTTGCCAGCTATCATTAATTGGTGATTTTCCTCTTCTTGCTAATATTTTCACTAGGGGAAAAAGAGGAAACAATCTACCAAAACTTTCCCCAAATCACGAAAGTGGTGTAACTTCACTGGGGATACTGAACCCATACAGAAAGAACTTCATGTAGTCAAAATGGAAATACATTGAAGAACAGAAAAACAATGAAGACTTTAAACTTATAGTGGGGGAAGAATGAAGATGAGATTTATTATATAACAATAAGAGCCTCTTTCAAAAAATATGTGTCAAACCTGACTTGGCTATCAAGAATTCTGTATCCACAAACTGGTATAATTATCCTCTTGGACACCAAGCATAAATATTGTAAACTTTTGTTAAAATCCATTGTGTTTTTTTGGAAAAGTATTCTAAAGTTCGATCCAATTTTGCCTAAATAGAAGGTTCAACTATGTTAAGAGTAGTCCTATACCCACCGGTGGGTGCACACGTGTGCACGCGCGCGCGCGCACACACACACACACACACACACACACATACACACACATTCATCCGCTTCCTCGATGCTCTTATCGGGAGGGCAGAGCCGGACTTCAGGTAAAGCTGACGTGAGTTCTGTCATGCACAGTCATGCAACATCCTCAAACAAGACAGAGGGCTTTCACAAATAGACACAGATTTATCCACACAACTCTGCAACCCAAAGTGAAGTTGTTAGAAACCCAGACTCCACAGGAACAAGGCAAAAGAACAGAAAATAAAACGCTCCGATCTGCCAACTGCACAGCTGACCCAAATGTGCAGTGTAATTTTAGAAACTGAGGAGCTCTGCTGGGGCATCTTATCTCTCATTTTTCCAGTCTCAAGCAAGGAGAACCTGACATAGAGCAGATGATAGATGGAAAGGATGGGCTGATGGACAGACTGAGGGAAGGCGGAAGGTGGGTAAGCAGACAAGCTGGAAGGGAAGACCACCTGGAAGGACGGACCTGGAAGGAAGAGTAGGTGGGTGGATGGATGCGCACTCAGGATACCTTTTTGCACATGGTTATTGGGACCTCAGAACTCAGTAGCCTCGGAGGCTAATTCTAGTACGTACCAAGCTGCACTTACTTATGCAAGGGGATATAATTTAACCTCCAGTGTATGTGAGCCATGACATACCATGGGTTAACTAGTGAAAGGAATCTGGTCTATTTTCTAAAATGATTCTAACAATGAGAGTAAAATACTGAGTTATTTAGCCTTTCACCCAAAAAAGAAAAATTTTTCCAAAATATTTGCTCCAAACATATTTAGAAATGGCTTTTCTGTGATGAAGTAGTTACTATGGCTACTAATAAATGACCCCAAAGTTTAGTGGTGTAAAACAACCATTTATTATGCTCATGAATTTAGTGGGTCAGGAATTTGGACAGAGCACAGCAGAGACGGCACGTCTCACTCCACAGTGTCTGAGACCTGGAATCCTCTGAAAGGCTGTTCACTAGCAGCTGATGCTGGCTGCTGACTGAAGGGCTTGGTTCCTCTCCATGTGGGTCCCTCCCTGTGCTCTCTGTGCAAGAGCTAGTTCCGGTTTCTCCCAGCATGGTGCCTGGGATCCCAAGTAGATCCCAAAAGAGACAAAGACAAGGGAAGCTGACTCCTTGAAGACCCCGCCCTGGAGGTCCCAGAGCATCATTCCCGCCACGTCACACCGGTCAGCGCAAGCACAGGCCCTCACCAAGGTTCATGGCAGGGGTGGGGAACAGAAACCCCACCTCTCCACAGAGGAGAGTAACGTAGTAAGAAGTGCATGTGGAATGGGAATTGGTATAGCCATCTTTGGGAAATTACATCTACACACAATGAAAATCAAAGTATGGCTTCAGTTTGACTCTCTGGGAAAAAGAAACATTTAGAGAAAACAAACAGGGAAGGTCAGTAACAACTCAAGCCAGCAAACTTCATACATGAAGAGTCTACTCTGTTCCAGGACAAGAGAACATTCAAATCCAAATGATATGAACACTCAAACATGAATCAATACCCACTGGAAACAGAGAACCTAGCACTCCTCTCCACCTGTACAAAAGGAACGTCCTACTGAAGTTTAAGGCTTGGACCAAATTAGTGGTGCAACATGAGAGGCAATGGTTCTGGTGAAACTCCTGTGGGAGACAGTCCACCCCAGCCCCATCCATAGACCGTCCATGCCAAGTCATACTCAATGCTACCTCCACCTCAATGACTCTGATAAATTCACCTAACGTAAGTAGCTCCTTACAGATTTCTGTTGTTCTTTGGTACTGTTTCGTTGCTTTTAAAGGATTGAAACAGATAAACTAGGTGAGAAAATGAAATACACATTAATGAATACCCATTTAAAACCTAGCACAATCACCAGAAAAATCTGTTTATTTTGTAAGGCATAAAACACCAAAGAGTAAAGGTTGTCAGTGGAGTTTGTTAATTTACAAGCCCCCAATTTTTTTCTCCGAATTCTTCATCCTTTAACAAACAGCTACCATTTAAACACACACACACCAATAAATATACTATAACCACACGTTTACTCCATAAATACAAAGACGGTTCAATTTATCATATAAATAGAAAGAAAAAAATCAGGGATTATTTCCATAATCACTGAAAGTGATTATCACAAAGCTTAACACCTGTTCTGGATTTTTTTTTTAAGCACTCAAAATAGAAATTGATATATACTTTTTTAACATGATAAAACTATATAAATCTTAATCCCAAGGCCAGCATCTTAAGGGGGAAACACTAGTAGCTGCCCGACTCACATCAGGAACAAAGGCAAAGATACCAACTACCTCCACTATGATTAATATTGAATCCAAGCTCTAAGCCAATCAGACACAAAAATAATTAGAGATGTAAGAACAATCCAACTACCTCCAGTTGCAGGTGTTCTTAACAAAAGAATTGAACAAAATAGCAGAATATAAAATTAACATAAAGTATCTATCTGAAAGTCTGACAACACACCCTGGGAATATGAAGAAACAGTCATTGCTGTTTCTCATACACTGCTGGTGAGAATGCAAAATTCTACACCACCTATGGAAGGAAATTGGACAATATCTAAAATCACATACTTATTTACCCTGTGACCCAGTCATCCTATTTCTAGGCAGCTATTCCAAAGAAATACTGACAGAAAGTTTTTTTAAGCACTCAAAATAAAAACTGATGGACAACTTCTTAACATGATAAAAATATATAAACCGAATCAGACACTGTGATGATGCACAAGGCCATTCTTCACTTCAGCATTATTTGTAACAGCAAAAAACTAGAAGACAACCCAAATGTTCAGCAATACAGGACTGTTTAAGCCATCAATGTTCCACAGAATGGAACACACTGCAGCTGTAAATTAGGAATGAAAAATATCTCTATGTACCATATGGATTGATCTCCAAGATATGAAAAGAGCTAAGTAGAAGAAAGTATATACAGCATGCTACAATTCATCTAAGAAGGAATAAACAGGACTGGGATGAATGTGTGTGTATGTGTGTGTATGTGTGTGTGTGTGTGTGTGTGTGTGTGTGTGTGTGTATGTGTGTAGTTCATTACATACATAATTTTTTAAGGAAAGGATTAGCTAAAAAATTTCCAAAACATGGTTACCTATAAAAGAGAAAGGAAATGGAGTAAATGAGACAAAGATGGATGCTAGACTTCTACAAACATACCTTACTTTGTAGATTTGACTCTGAAGACACATATTTTACTTAATTATGAAACATTGGCCATAACAATAATCATAGAATTCTCCATGTAATCCTGTGTTTAAGGCTATGAACAAACCTGAATGGAAACAGCAATCGACAGAACCGACATGACAATTCTGACTAGTGAGCAGGCTTCCATGAAAGAAGTCAAGGTGTGCCAGGCAAAGCCAGAGAAATAGAATCGTGCTGAGACTGAGACACGCGACTTACCTCAACCTCGCTCCCGGGTTCGTGATTGGCAGCTGAGAAATACACAACTTCCTGCACTTCATCCCTGGGCCGAGCTGAGTTTTTCCCAAATACCACCAGACCATCTTTAGCACGTGGTGGGAAGGCCACAAAACAGTAACTCGGAGGAGCTACAGCCATCCTGAAAAGAGAGGGCATGCCAGAGAGACACTGGAAGCAGGTCTGACATGGAACACTCCAACAGTGAGTTCTTCAAACGTTTTTGACCAGCTAAAACAGTTTTAGTATTGAACTGTGTGCATAGCTCATGAAGAGATCCCAGCTGGTAATGAAGGTGGGGTGGCTGGGGTAGAATCACAGAGCCACTGAGACCAGATACTGTTTTGTATTCCATGGGATTAAATGAGCTTAGATTTACAACAAACAGCAGTGGCAGCCAAAAGTGAGATGACGTAGGAGAAAGGAAAGGAAGTTATTGTTCTAGGCAGAAAACACACACACACACACACACAGCAAGCTGTCACAGTAATCAAAAAATAAATAAATATACCTTGTAACAGTACACTACAGAAATGCCTCAGATCAAGATGTATGGCTGCTATAATAAGGAAACAGGTCTCCAAGAAACTGAAAAAGACTCCTTTTTAATATATTTTTACTCTGTTTCAGCAACACAACCCTCAAAGACCTCTTGGTTTTCCTCCCACTTTTCCAGCTGCTCCTGGGCGGGCTTGTTCTCTTCTACCTGGCCAATGAGCATCCTTGCAGCTTGATTGTTCATAACTCATTTAATGCTATTTCCCTCTGGGAAGACTCATCCATGCCCATCGGTCATTTATGTGCCAAAGATCTAGACATTTAATTCCAGCTCAGTTCTCAACTTGAGCTCCTGACCCACAGACCCAACCAGACGTCCAAAGCTGACTTCATCATCTTCTTCCCCGGACTGGGTCCCTTTCCAAGTTTCCCTATATCATTGGCCAGCTCCACTGTCCATCCCACTGGAGCATCCAAAACTCAGGAACTAGCCTTGCCATCTGCTCCTCTATTATCTGACAGACCACCAAATTCCACCTGTAGATTCAATCACCTAAATCTCTATGGACACTATCCACTTCTCTCCACCTCCACTACCAAGACCCCACACCAAGCCTGGACCACTGAAGTAGCCTCCTAAGAGGTCACTCCATTACTACTATTAAACCCCCTCCAAAATATTCCCCACATTGTAGGCAAAGTGGTCTTTTTAAAAGGAAGATTTGATCATGTCAATCCTGCTTAAAAGCCTCCAGAGGTTTTCCACGGCCCTTGGAATTAAGGCCCAAATCTGAACAAGCTCCTGTCCCCTCCCCACCTGATCTCATACCACTTGCCCCTCCACTCTCTCCTCCAGCACACAGGCCTTTTTCTAGTTCCTCCAGTACTCCCGGGGCCTCTGCACATGTTGTGCCCTCTTTCCTGAGTACTCCTTTCCTTATTCCCTACACCAAACCCATTTGCCTTGTTAGCTTCTACTCCTTCACATACCAGCTCAAGTGTCAGTCTAATTTATGTTGCCATACTATGCTCCTTTAGAGTAACCAATCATAATCTGAAATACTTGTGTAATTACTTTATTACCAATAATCAATATTTAGCCTTTCCCCTAAAGTCTAAGCAATATGAAGGCAGGTACCATCTCTCTTTTGCACACTACTGTAAACCCAGCCCTACATAATGAGTTTCTGCATGATAGATTTTAACTGAATAATGAACAAGTGCTCTTTTCTTCTTTTTTAATACTCCACCAAACTGAAGCTAAATCTCTACAGCTCTTTCTCACCACCAGGCCTGTACTCCTGCTAGAATGCCCTTCCCTTAGTCTTTGTGCATATCCTGCAGGATCTGAGTCAAAGTCCCTGCCTTCCAGGGAGCCTTCTATAAGGGGCTCTAATTTTCTCAGCATCCATAAGCACTAATGCATCCACTTTGTTCTAAGAAAGTGTGCATTTGTTGCTTGTAAATATACTGCTTCAGCTCTTTCAACTAAAGCTCCCTGAGGTCAGGACCAAGGCCACCCAACTATAGTAGCCACTTTCCCAACCTCCTATTATAGGCCCTCTCAACAAACATCACCTATTGAACCAGCTATCATATTTGTGTCATCAAGTATCCAACTTAAATGTGTTTTATTTTATTAGTCCAAAATATAAATGAGAAGTAAAGAAAGCTATGTTCTCAGAAAAGCAACTGGGATTCAAAACTCAGCCCTACCACCTATTAGCTATGTGACCTTACACAGGTCACTTTACCTCTCTGAGCCTAGGTTCTCACTTTGGCAAATGTTTTGCTCAGACCACAGGCTTACAATGAGTATTAAATGAAATGATGCTTAAGAACATATTTTGCAAACTGTGGGTCTTCATGAGTATAAGATATTTTATTTGGGTTTTGACTGTTTGGATAGAGCAGCACCTCAAATTTCTGTTGAGTAAGTCAATCAACACCAACTCACTTTACTCATAAGTAGTGAAGTTATCAAATTTCAGAGTCTGCAACCTTCTTTGTGAGGTGACTGTATTGCTACATCTACATCAGGTTACTTCAGGTTAGTCTGTACAATCACACCCAGTGTGTTAGTTTTCCCTGCATTGCTTATGGTACAGAGAAGTCAGGGAGCCCATGGCTCCAAAAGTAACTCCCTCCTAGCTCAGGAAAATAGCCCCCTTCCCCTTTGTGAGGAAGCAAAAAAAGGCAGGAAAATAAAGAAACTCCAGTTCCTTCTCCCCTTACCCTTTCCCATTTCCACAAAAACTACCCATCTTCAGACTTGAGGGGCAGAGAGAAATAAACCAAGGCTTTGTACAGGTAAGAAAGATCTAGAATAATTGCAAGATAAAATGCCTTTACAGTGGTTTCCTAGAATCTGGGGGTGGGAGGAATTGCTGATGAGCCAAATAAACTTAAACAGACCCAGAAGATAAGATGGAGAAGATTCATTTACCTGTGTTTGTAGCCTCTTATATATAATATGATTCCCCTCCTCCCCCACTGTTGGGCCATTTCAAAAGTTCTGCTGCCTCATCTATGAGCAGAATCTTATTTGATCCTTCAAAATAGTAGAAATCCACTGCTCTTGCATTTATCAGATGTATCTGTAGAAAATAAAAAAGCCCACAGGGTTTTTGATAAGCCCCTGTTCTTCAGCCAGGACATCGGCTTGGTCAACAAGGCATCTGGGCAACAAAACCCAGACGTAGTGGGCCCAGGCCTTTCCACTGAATTTCGTGAATGACTGGGAATGCCAGATGGGAGCAGAATGTTAAAGTCTATTCTTTTTAATGCTAGATGAACCACAACACTGCTCACAACCAAGAATACTAGCCAAGGCTCACTGTTTATTCTTTCTATATCACCATTTTAGATACTGACTAGCCTCAGAGATGACTTAGCTGGATCCTCTTCTGCTCTCTAGATCAGTGCTGTCCGAAAGAACTTTCTACAGTGATGGAAATATTCTATCTCCCCTGTTCAATATGGTGGCCACTGGCCTCACGTGGCTATTTTGGTGTAGAGAGTGTGATTAAGAAACTGAATTGTTAGTTTTATTACAAGCTTTAATTACTTTGTATTTAAAGAGCCACATGTGGATAGTAGGAATTCTATTGTATAAAGCAGCACTACAACTTCCAAATAAACCAGAAATGAAGATTTTCACATTAAGACTTCCTATGAACCCAGAAGTACTTATTTGTGAAGTCCTCCACTTATTCTAATGACAAAATGTGCTATCATCCATATAAACTGAACTAGCAAAGAGGAGGTAGGACACTTCCAGAAGTCTGAAGAAAACCAACATTAGGAAGCAGCTGCCATACCATCAGGCCGACTGAGTGTAAATGAGCTCTTTTCTCCAGAGGCTAATGACGATCACAGCCGTGGATGGCAATTCTACTTCCTTGATGTGAATCTCATATTCCTAACTCTGAATACACCATGAAAGCGGCCAGCCCTGCTACCTGGAAATCATGTGTACTTCTCTGGCCAGTTCCTCTCTTTATCTCATAAATGAGCTGTTGATACCTTTGTTTCTCCCCAAACTTCCAACTACCTCCTCTAAGCAGGTATCTCACCTCCCCTCCCCCACAAAGGATGGGTGGTTGGGGGAGGGAGACTGTTTCAGAGAGAGGATATGCAGGTTTGGGAACCCCGAGGCTGGAGAAAGGGGAAGGAACCAAGAAATCAAACAGCCAGTGCGGCTGAAGCTAGAGAGATTGGGGAAGAGGCTGGAGAAGCAGGGAGACAGGCCGGTCCACAGGGTCCACAGTGGCCTTGAAGACCGCGGCAAGGATTTAACTGTCTATCCCGTTAGACAAGCCACCAGCTTTTTTCTAAAGCTAGGTTTCAGGTAGAAAATGAAGCCAGTTCCTATAGAGAACGTTCAAAGAAGTTGGCTGTGATAGGGAGGAGACAGCTCAATAGACAAGTAATTCCATTTCTATGTATCTACCCTCAGGAAATGATCAGGAATATGGACAAGATTTACTCACAAGTGTTCATAACAGCGATATTCATACAGGTGAAAAACTGAAACTTAATTATCCATCATCACAGGAATGGCTACAAATTTTATGCTACATCTATTTGGTAGAATTCTATAACGCATTAAAAATGTTTCTGAAGAGTTTAATTGCATGGAGAAATGATTTGGGCAGGGGGAGGGGATCCAAAATAAATTACCTTAAATATGTAAAAATATGCATAGAAAAAGGTTAGAAGAAAATGTGCCAGAAATATTAACAGTGGTGACCTTAACACTGAATTCTTTCAGTTTTTTTTCAGTTTCCTTTAATTTCTAGTTTTCCTACTAAGATTTATATTTATATAAACACAGAAATGATTTTTAAAAATTAAACACAGGTGATATTACTGAATTTAAATTTTTATAGTTAAAAAATTTTGGCTCTACTATGTCCTGACACATCTAAAATTTTAAACTGGCAAATTCTTATAAGAGTTACAGTTAGGATGAAATTCTTTTAGTGAGGTATAATTGACATATAACATTATATTGATTTCAAACACACAACATAATGATTCAGTATTTGTATATATTGTGAAATGATCACCACAGTAAGTCTAGCTACATCTGTTACCATACATAATTACAGAATTTTCCATTTCTTATGGAACTTTAAAGAT